AAAATTAGGCTATTTGTTCGTTCTCGTTCCGCTGTGCACGTCAACTATATTACAGCCATTTATACGAGCGAAAATAAGCCGTGGCCTATAAATAATGAAACCGTGCATGGTCTAAATTAACCGCGGCTTAAATAAGTAGTAGGCTTAAATAAGTATAAAAATTGAAAATACTGCTTGGATCTTTTTTCCTAAGCATTCGTTACGATAGGCTTTTAGCTTAGTAAACAAACAATTTAACAGCAGGTATCCTTACACGGTAGTTGATTTTCAGAAGTAAACACAATGAGCTGATTATCAATAAAATAATTTAGATTTAATTTTATCGCGCCTGACTGTAGGTTTTGTTTTGTAAAGGTATGTATATATAGGTCCAAATTTAAACTTTCCACGTGTCAGGTCCTAAAAATTGGAGTCTTAGCAATTTCGAAGCAATATTGTCTATAGATTGTTTAGAATTTAATTGTTTTCACGGTCAATAAACACGACAAAACTACCGTGGCATCATAAATGGCCTATGATAAAAAGTGTGGAAATAAGCCCTAACTCGAGAACAAGGCTCTCTCAGTTGAGGCCTTGTAGCCTCGACTTGGTGTTAAGGCTTATTTCAACATTTATACGTCAAAATGGAAAATTCTTTTTCATGCACGTATTGTAGAAAGACGTTTTACATCTTTCCTTGTGACTTGTGAGAATGAAACTAGAAATCCATCTCATTTAAGGTGGTTCTAAATTTAAAACGATAAAGTTGTGACGTTTATATCAAAATCATGTATCAGGTTGTATTATTATAAGTGTTTCCATATATGGTACTCTTGACTCTATGGTTTACTCAGACTATATTCACGATTGTTACGTTTGTGTTATTAAAAACACATATAATAATATTAGATTACATTTTTCCTTACTGTTGATATATCTAGGGTTCGGACTAGCCCGTATTATGAACATAATTTATATTCAGCCAGCTGATCTGAGATCGGATGTCGACAAAACCGAGTTATCATGCGCTGGAATCATTTGTCCAAGTTCTTCCATTTTCTAAATTTTACGCTCGCAATTTATTGGCACGGCAGAGCTATAATTGGTACCGTACACAATTATATTAGTGGCCAACTACCTAAACAATGACCGCGTACAGATGAAATGGGCACGTTCCTATCAGTTCTAGCCGGGCCGTGCCAATAAATCGAGTGTAGTGTAAACAGGACTTTAATTTGCAGTTGAAGTAAAACAAACGTGTTTCTGCACAAAAATGATACATTTAGCTACATTTAGACTGCCGAAGTTATTATATGAAATGACGAATTCATGCTATAGTTTTGAGGAGGATCTGGCTACGGATTGATTGATTTTAGTACTCAGAACAGCGCTAGAAGGGTGTAGAAGGCAATTGTTATACATATTTGGGAAGTGGGGTTCAGACTTTAAAGCCCCGTGCAGATGGGCAAGTTTTCCTGGCAAAGTTTTATATTTCCTCGTGCTTGTGTACGCAAAAAAATTGACAAGTCCAAAAGCTAGTCATGCCAGGTTTTCAACAAGGAAAATTGCTCGTGTGTACGGCCGTCAAGGAAAACCTGATAATTATATGTATAATTATATATATTATCGTGAAGCCTGTCAAGAAATGATTGTCAAATTTTTCGCGTACAGCGAGCAAATAAAACTTGACAAGGAAAAAGTGCTCGCCATAATTTATACACCAGCAAGTGAACTGGCCAAGATAACTTGTCAAGGAAAAGTTCTCAAGGAAAACCTGCCGGTCTGTACGGTACGGATCCTTGAGTGGCAATTTTAATCTTAAATACAAAAGGGTATTGTCTTACATGAGACATCCGCGGGATACAGGTCCAGATACCGAATATACTATGGACGACGTTCCAGATAAGGGTTTTACGGATCGCTCGACACCAATCAAAATAGAGATATAATAATTGTCAGTAATACACACTGCAGAACTTGCATATATAAAACCTAGGCAACTGAGTATATTGTATATATAGTATACGGAAAACTATACTATAGTGATCATGACTACGACAGCAGAACAGAATTTTTCAGTTGTCAGGCAGATTGAAGATCTTCCTCGCGATCCGATGAATTCTTCTAAGAGTTGGCCCGCATAAGTTTAAGTGCTATGGTAACTAAAACTTCGATATTTGTTTTAAAAAGCTTATAGTTTAATGACGGCCAATTATATAATTATATACACGTTTCTCGCAGTATATAGCGTAGCCAGCTTGACGATTTGTCCTGCTATGCTAATGTTTTGGTGTTCATTGACTGTGAAGACAATATACATTTCTAAAGAAATGTGTTATTATAATAACTCGAAATTTGCATTGCGGGGCAAAAATCATCAGGCTGGCTACGCCTCTGGTCTCTCGACTGCATGCTGCTTCATTTACGGCGAGAAGAGCAAGTTTTACATACATACATGCCATTAAACATTTAGCTGTGTAATTTTATGAAAAATTATTCGTTAAAATGTTAAATGCTTGTATAGATATCGATTAAATGTAACGAAGTAAAAAAATAAAACGTTCTTTCTTCATTAAATTGTTTATATTTGTTCGTACCAAAATTGAATGTTCGCATACTGTATATCTGAAGAGAATCCTACTCCAAAGCCAACTCGAGTTCATTTACGATTGTCGTTTTGTCCTTCGTCTTCGTACAGTCCTGTCGACGGGTTGAATTTGGCATTTGGAGACAGACTTCCGTAGATAGCTTTTAGATATGCTTCTACGTCATAAGGAGCTTGGAACTCTTGGGCTTCAATTGTAATCGAACGCAATGGAAGTAGCTTTTTAACCGGAATTTCAACTACATTTGGTTGGCCAAAATAAAGCCATCGATAAAACTTTTCAAATCGTTGAAAGAACTGCAAATCAGCAGTGACGTAATGATAATTCGCTCCACAGTATTGTGGTCCACACAAGAAATAGCTGCCATGGGTTGGGTCATAAACCTCGATTTTTTGAGCGTACGTGGATATGTATCGTGCTTCGTACGGGGCTGGAAGCAAGCTCTTTATTTTATTCATGACGTCTGATATATTGGCTGACGGATTAACAGAATCAAAAAATAACGCAATATCAAAATCATCGTCTTGTGGAATGAACTTCCCACTTCGGTAGGCTCCAAGCAGTGTACCGTTGTCCAAAACCCAGGGAATGTTGAGCTGATTCAAGACTTCATCGCGCAATATTGTCCCCAATTTTAGCCTATGTTTGCCCCAAATATTCATTCCAGCGTCTGTCATCTTATAATTATTTTCTCGGCTCATGTTTCATCAATTCCGCCAACTTTACAGTGCTAGCTGATCAACATCTGTTTTGCATGTGGCAAAATTGCCGCGATGCAGGTTTTAAATCCAAACATCATTCATTACTTAGATTGTTTTGTATAAAAAACGGCAGGTTTAACTAAACCCTCTATTTAAAGAAAACAAAATAAATTAAATTACCTGGCCCCATATTATTAACTTTTCGAATGGTAAAGTTAAATTTTCTTTTTTGACAGACGAAAACTCCACTTGACCGCTCATTTTGTAGGCACAGGAGGGTTTAAAATTCTGAAGCAAATAATTTTGGTACCGGTGTTTTGAACTTGATTTGTTTCTACCAAATTTTGCTATAAATAAATAATATCATTGAGCTAGTTTGTTTGCATTTTAACTACACCGGCGGCGTTATGTCGACTTCTCGCATTAATGTATGTCGTATGTTACTTAATATGATTTCTCGCTGACCTAGGGCCATACGTTGCCTATACTGCAAGGACCTGTGAAAACGTATGTCAATATCATACTCTGCCATCTGCCTTCCTACCAATAACCAATTGCTTAACCAGTTAAGTTAATAGTTAATACTTAACCAGGAATTAACATTTAAAATTGAAATTATTAGTTTTGCCTTTTGGGCCTTTGTTTAGCTATATGATGAAAAAGGAGTTGAAATAAAGAGAAAGTCAAGTTCGTTCTTGCGGATCGGTTTTGCTGATATAACAAAGTAACAGTCGCATGTTTTTCATTTTCCTGAATATAGTCTAAACTTTAGTTCACTTTTTCATACCCATGCAGAAATGAATATGTGATCAGACGATGTTACATATTTGTGTTTTCGAAAAGTAAAGGCGTTTATAAAATGTAATCAAAACGTTCGTTTACACCCGAATTTGTGCATGGACCGCATTGTTATATTATTATTTTCATTATTGTTATTATTGTTATCATTGTAAGTCATTACTAAAATTAGACGCCTGTTCTGGGGCCGGTTGTATCAAGCCCGTTTAGCTTAAACGGTGGATGAGTCAACTTGAATTCTATGCACTGAATAATTAGTTATAAACAGTATCTTTGCATGTATTAAACTCAAAAACATTTAGTTCGCTTGTTAAATAAAACGATAAACTTGCTTTCTATTTTGAACTTAAAGCTAAACGGGCTTGATACAACCGGCCCCTGGCGTTAACTCCGCGCACTGCAAAAAATTCTGAGTAAAAATAACTCAATCTATTGAGTAAATGAATGCACCCAGAGTTACTCAGGATATGGAGTAAATTGTACTCTTATTGTTTACTCAAATTTACGAGTAACGTCTACTCAAAGTCAAGGGCACCTAGAACTCAAATAAAAGAGTAAAAGTTACTCAAAAATTGAGTTGTAGTTACTCAAATAAAATGCACCCATTATAACTCTTTAAATTGAGTAAAAGCCTTAATTACTCAAAAATTGAGTAAAACTACTCAAAACAATGATTCTATTTTACTCAAAAAAGAGGTAAAACCTACTCAGATTACTCGATCAACACTTATACTATAGGGGTTTACTAAATTTTCGATTACAACGGCAAGCTCAAAGGCTTTAGCTATAGTAATTGTGAATAAATGTGCCTTTTTCACGTTTTCCTTGAATACGGCTGAAATAAAAATACATCTATACGTCTGAAGGTATAAAAATTAAATGTTTATTTAGTTATTTAATCGTATATATACATCAGTTATAAAGTGTCTAATTTGTTAACAAAATCTAAAACAGAACCTGGTAACTTTTTTCCATCCAGAATACTTAAAACACATTTTTGTACAAATAAACAAAACTGGTTGAATCCAACTGGATATTCAAACATAAAAGAATAGTTCACAGCCATATATACCACAACTGCATCCAGCAACATTCCTTGTACGGTACAAATAACGGTTTTCTCTGCAACCACAGCCTTCTCCCCAAGATCTTGCAACTCTCCCTTCACCAATATCTTTGGATGCACCTCATCCATTTCACTTGCCACCTTTTCAAAATTTGAACCTTCCTGCAAGGAAAAGGAGCAGGCTATGTTAGCATCCAACAAATATATAATCTAATAATATAATGTATATAGAGAGAGAAAGAGAGAGAGAAATGTAAAAAAGTATACTTACTGGGATAAACTGGATGAAGCTGCTTAGGTCATTTTTGCCAGACTTTTGCAGCAGTAGGGCAGCCAGTAAAAGAGCGACGTCTGATATTTCATCTATATAAAAGTTAAAAAAATAAAAAAGCATGAGAAAACTAAGGTCAATCAAATTCTTGTAATATATTGTAATATATTGCACCAATGAAAATTTAGCGTTAACATATAAACATAGTGTACCCACAAACTGATAGTTTATGAAAAAAGTTTTGCATGTATGCAGTACCATGCCAAATTACCTAAGTAGTGCATGCATGTAGGATGATACACCATATTTAAATGTTTCAATTAGAACTGTTTGATTGAAAATGCTAAAGGTAATTGAGATTTGGAAAAATCATGAACTATAGAAGGCAATCTGGGTTTGCCAAGTAGCTTTAACAGCAGAATAAATAGCATGAAAATAGATAAACTTACCATCTGAATTTTCAACCTCCTGGTCACAGGAGTCATCATTCTCTAGCAACTTCAGATATTTCTTCACCTGCTCATAACACTTGGCTTTCTTTGACATTTTGGCAAGGAGGAGTACTTTGTTGGCCATTTGAGAGAAGTTTGCCTTAAACTGCTCAGTGATGCTGGATTTGACTGCCAAAATCCTCTCAAATTCAGAAACAATCTAAAAATACACCACATTTTCAACAAAATAGTAATAATATACAAAAGTGAGGTAAAATATTTGTATATTTAAATGGATGGATTAATTGCAAAAGGTCTCTATAATAAAATATTATCTTTGACAGCTGGAACCAAACAACTAAAAAACACCATGACAAAACCAAATATTAAATAAGATTTAATCATAACTGTTCAATCAGGAGATGCTTCCTTCCTTAAAAAAACCCTGTTGCATCATATACACATACAAGACATATATATTCATATACATTTATAAAAATTAATATGCCACCTTACCTCCTTGCTCGTGAAAAGTGTTGGATACTCATGCCTAATTTCAGCCAAAGGCCTCTTCTCATTGATAAACCTCCTCCGGTGGGGAAATGTGCGGTCCATCCTTGATTGTATTTTCTCTAAGTTAGGGCTTCTCTTGCGGGATTCATTCTTCATGAAAGCAACATGTGCTTTGATTGATGCCTCATCTTCTCCCTCAGGATATGGTGGCTCCCAATTTATTCCTCCTCTTCTGAGAGACTTCTTTACAACTTTAGTGTCAGAGTCCACTGACTTTCTCTTTCGTTGAAGAACCAACGGGTCCTGTGCGTGCTTTCTTTCATTCCTAAATTTTTCGTAAATTTGAGAATACCAAGAATCCTGCAAATATAAAAAGGAATTTTGAATCAGTGCATAGGGCCATTTCAATATCTATTTACTAGATATAACTTACATAGCCAGATCCTATGCCCTTATCTTGCAAAAATGGATAGTCTTTTATAATTTGTTGACAGATCTGTGTAATTTGGTCTCTTGTCTTTTTCCCTTTTTTTCTTTTTTCCCCTTTTTCTCTAGTTCTCTTTTTTCTAACACACTTTTGCATGATGATGCATTTACTTCTGAAAGATTTCCAGTTGATCATTTTAAAGTATATTTAACAGTAATTTCAATGTGTATTAATTATACATGTGGTAAAGGTCTAAAGTTTGATTTCCCAATTAGGTATAGTTAGTATATTGAAGGTAAATAAATAAAAATGCTTATATTTTCACGAGTTAAAAGTTTTCTGAAATTGCTTCCATATAAACAATGAAATAGCTACTAACCTACGTCGAATTCCTCTTTACTTGAACACTCTTTATTTACCTATATAAAACATGAAAGACTTTGGAATTTATAATGTTTTGTAACAGAAAAAATTAATAATTCATGAACTTACCTCTGGTCGATCTGCCATCTTTACTTCGTATAACAAGAGTACAAAGCCCATGCATCTCAAACACGTGTTCAAACAACGTTCTCAAATGTCCCGTTGTGTTCCCCAAGAGTACAAATCCCAAGTCACCCAGCTAAAAAAACCAACATTACCGCAACTCGACGGTTGATGGCAGCCGTGATCGGTTCAAGATTGTCTCATATCTTCGACCCAATCTCCAACGGTCTACAGTGTACCTCTGGTCTGACAGCCAGATCGTTCTACATTGGCTATCGTCAAGTCGAGAAATGAACAGGTTCGTCTCCAACAGTGTAAAAGAAATCAAATCTGCCACCACTGACATTCCCTGGCGCTATTGTCCATCAGCTGAGAACCCCGCAAACCTCCTTAAACTAGGTATACGCACCAGTGACCTAGTGACCTATACAGATCAACCCTGTGGTCTCACGGTCCCGTACGTTTGACTAACCAACACATCTAAATGACCATCGTGGAACATCTCGTCCGTTACTCTCCAGACTAACACAGAAAGCCAGCCTGAAACCTCCTCCACCCTGACAACCACGTTAGATCCGACTGAACCCATAGAACGTGGCATCGTCAGTAAACATCATCAAATTGACCAATGGACCTTTTGCATTATAGACATTTTTTATCTATGCAAGATAATCCAATAAAATCACCACAGCTAAAACGAGCGTACTGAAATTAGTAGAAATGCAAAGTTTGGTTGCGAAATGTCATAAGATGCCGATAATATGGCTTTGCAAAGTTTGCTAATTTGTATACTTTAGTTTAACGCACGGAAATTGCTACCACATTCGGGCCAAAAATGGTAGCAATTTGCGTGCGTTAGACTAAAGTATACAAATTTGCAAACTTTGCAAGGCCATATTTTCCGTATTTTACGACATTTCGCAACCAAACTTTGCATTTTCACTAATTTTGGTACGCTCTTTTCAGCTATGGTGATTTTATTGGATTATCTCGCATAGATCAAAAAGTTGCCTATAATGCAAAAGGTCCATTTGCAGTACACTTCCAAGATTAATCCGTGTAACAGCATGGGTGTTACGATTTCTTAACATCCTCAGGAAGAAAGCTGACAGCGGTCCTTGGTCCACTTTGGAATTACAGGCAGCACACAAACTTTGGATTCTAGGCTGTCAATCAATTGTGTATTCCAAAGAACTTGTTAATTTGAAATCAAAGACAGCTGATCGGCTACCACTGGTCAGACAACTTCGTTTTTTCGTTTTCGAAGACTTCTACGTTCCGGAGAAAGTATACATAACGCACCCTTTCAAGAGTCGACAAAGTTTCCTATCCCACTCCCCCAAAACCACCACCTAACACAACTGATCGTAGAAGCCGGACATAGCAGAAATACTAAACTCCACCCTCACCTATCTTCTTCAGAAATACTGGGTACCAGCAGCCCGACAATACGCATCATTCATCGCTGTGTACATGTCGAAAGGTCATCAGCTAATCGTACAAGAACCCCGACCTACCACCACTACCAGCAATCCGCACAACCGATTCGCATCCGTTTACAGTCACTGGAGTTGACTTCACCGGCACAATCTACGTGAAATCACCCGAAGGTTCACTCAAAGTCTGCATCTGCTTGTTCACCTGTGCCAACATCCGGGCCATCCACCTCGAAATAGTTAATGATCTATTAGTACCCACCTTCATGGAAGCCTTTCGAAGGTTTTCCAATCGCAAGTCACTTCCCACAATAATGGTATTCGACAACGCTTCAACTTATGAATCAGCAGCAGAAGAATTGAAATTTTTGTTTAAATCACCAATTCTAGAGGAACGTCTTAGTAAACGAGCCGTGCAGTGGAAATTCATGGTCAAACGTGCTCCGTGGCATGGTGGATTTTGGGAAAGACTAATCGGTATGACCAAACTTACCCTGAAGAAAGACCTTGGCCGATGAACCGTCAACCTATTCAAACTAAAACCATCATCACAGAAATCGAAACAATATTGAACGACCGCTCACTAACCTTCGTTTCATCCAACATCGAAGATGAACAACCCTTGACTCCTTACCATCTCCTTTACGGTCGTAGAATAATAGGATTACCACACCCTTTAATCGCTGAAGACGAATGGTCCGATTCAACCTTCGATGAAGAACCAACCTTAGTTCAACACCTTGCGAAAAGGAGAACTGATTTAATCCACCACTTCTGGAACCGCTGGCGGAAAGAATATCTGACATCACTCCGCAAATTCCACAAGGCAACAAAAACAAACAAAATTTCTATCAAGGCGGGCGACGTTGTCCAGTTACATGACGATACAAAGCGTATCAACTATAAATTAGCTGTCGTTGAAAGTCTCATTTATTCATTACTGGCAAAGATGGATTAGTCCGTGCAGCAAACATCAGAACGAGCAAAGCCCACACTAACCGTCTAATTACAAAGCTGTACCCACTCGAGGTTGCCTTGATAACAAGAAGTAATCCTGATGAAAGCTATGTACCTCCAACCCGCGCGGAAAGTATCGCGAATAGTCCATTGATTTACGTAACCCCAAAGAAGCAAGGACGAACAGCAGCTCGCGAAGCAAAGAAGAAGATCAAGGACTGGACAGGTGAACTCTTGCGCGTCCCGGAGGATGTCCCGGATTAGCGACAGTACAGTTATATTTAAGATATAGTTCAGTAGGACATGTTACGGTAGCAATAGTCTCTGAACCTTATTGGTTAACGTTAAGGAAAGGGCGGGAATGAGCAGTTTTGATTGTGGACATTGACTCAAGTAGGAACTGTAATTGTAACCCTTGTCGCTGTTCTTTTATGCCAATGATTATACAACACACAGGATATATAGAAATCCACTGCGAAGTTCTTTTAACTATTACAACATATCTGACAGGCGAGTTACAATCAAAGAAAAGCTTGTCTTTTCGCTTCTTTGTTATTCGAAAGAACCTTTGGTACAAGTTCTCAGTTGTTTGCGGCAATCACAACGCAATTTCCAGATTAATATTCATAACAACACCCAACAATCGGGAGAATCTCGGCCCTCGGATTCAACGGAACACAACTGTCAGCACAATATACTGTTTAATTAACTGTCAACTTTCGCTCGCTGTGAATACTTTATTTGATGAATATTTCACTATCGTTTACCTGGCTTTTCCTTTCAACGGTTATATTATAAACCACAAACTTTACTCAACTTAAAAGATTTATCACGAAGAAGCAGTTTTTAATTTTAAACATTTTCCGGCATTTATTTTGTCTTAAACTACATGAAATGCAATGACATCTAATTTTCTCGTGTTCTACAACAATATGCAACACCATAGCTGGCTGAATTAATGGTATAAGTCAATAGCCGACTATATTTCATATGTCAGAAGTGAATTGCATGGATGGAACAAAAATGGATTGCGTGAACAGACCTTAAAATATTCTTTAGAAATGAATAACCAATTGGAAATTAGTCCGTCTAATGACTTACCCTAGCTGAAAACGCAACTGGCTGAAAAATATATCAAGTGTACATCATCAACTAACGAACTCGAACTGAGGGCCTTCGTCACAAAACCTCATTGTCTCGCACGAAATTTCCCCTGGGTAAATTAACCCGCATTGTTTTGGAATTGATAGTTAATCCCATGCCCCCAAAGTTGCAGGAAGATAATGGGGCGAAACGGACAAAAAAGACTAGGCGCGAGAATAGTTAAGAGTGGTTGAGAAGAACATTTTTTGTTCGACATAGTGTGTTTCAAGAATAAACGATTTCTTTTTTAGCATTTTTGACTTGTTTTGTGCCGGGTGGATTCAAAATCTTCTGACTGGTTAAGACTGTTCAAATTCGTGAACACGCATCGTCAAGGCATCATCATTGAACTAGTAAATTAATAAAAATTATGCCCTGCAAAACGGAAAACGAAATGATTTTCATTTTCTTTAACCCCTTCTTGCAAATATTTTTGTTTGCATATCGCTTCCGCTCATATAATTTACAGTTTATATCAAGATACAGCCTTTGACCCTGACATTAGTCTACCTGTATGGATACAATATAATTATATGACCGAATTCGTTCTAACGCAAGCGGTTAATCTTTGAAAATTTTCCAATTTCATGCACAGGAGTTTAAAAATTAAATAGGAAATTGAATATTAATACATGGCCTGCTACAATGAAAAGGAAAACAATAAGTAAATTTTGAATATTTCACTTTCATTTTTATTTTCTTTAACTTGTCTTGAAATATTTTCAAATTTGATACAAACATTTGTTCGTCATTGAACTATGTCTACACGCGGGAATTAGTCGCTCAATTGCAAAATTTTTGTAATGAAAGAGCGTTGTTTTACAAGAGAAGCCTTTATAAAAGACGCACACTCAGCGAATCTATGGTCGATAACTCACGTTAACATCTGTGCATCTAACGAGTCGTTGCTCTCGCCATCGGTAAAAGATTCAAATCACGTCAGTGCCAACGATAGCGAATACCAACGATTAATATTCTAAAAACTCCCTGCCGCTTTTCTTCTAAAAGTCATCAACTAGCTCTAAAAATGATCCATGAGGTCTGAAAAGACTAATTCAAGCGAAACATCACAATCGGAAAATATTATTACGGCATTTTGGAGTAATATATATTGCAAATCATGATTCGTGGCTTACAATTTCACTTCCAATTTATTCCGGCCTCAGCTCGGTTTTTTCCTATGCTAGAAAAGAACCGAATTATGCGGACGTTAGGTATGGCCTCAACAATTCAACGGACAATCACAATGAATATAGATGATAACAAGGAAATAGTAAGTATAGAGATCTTGTTTAGATAGTAACTCATTATGTAGGTTTTCGTAGAATCGATAACCACATTATCTCATTAAAAATAATTTCCAACAAGACTTGGTATTTCATAGCATAATTTTAAAACAGTTCCTAGAACTTATAGTAAACTATTTTAGTTGTTGGAGGGAGACATGTACATATATTTATGTGATGCCGGATTGATTTTTCAGATTATATAATATCATAAAGCATTGCTTTTAAGGTTAGTGACATAAGTAAAGAAAATATACAAGATTAAGCCCCCTCATGCATGCAATAGGTGTCTCGCACAGCCTTTGCTGGCAATGTTAACACGTTAACCGCTCAAGCTCTTTCCAAGAAACTCGCTATAATTACGAGATTGCCAATTGGTCATTTTATTTTATAAAACAGTATAATCATACAGGGTGAGTAAAACCTGGCGTCTATTCATGATCATACGCAAATTGGCCGCATAGCGCTATATATGCGCATTGGCCGCATGCTGTTATTCAACACGAATGAATTAATTAATACATGCATGTATTTGGTAATTAAAGTATATTAAACTCGTATGAGATATAATAAAACTGTCGATAAATCCGTTCTGTTTGACACAAGGATATAATTATCTAAATTAATTGGTCTCATAAGACTTAGTTGAAAGTAGAAGTATAGGGCCTATAGGCATCGCTGCATCATGTCTTTTTATCTCGCCTGATAGCTGCTTGGCTGGTCATATGTATCAAAATTGCTGTTGAAAAAACCTCTACAGTACAGATACGTATCAACGTACGTTTACCATAACTTTGCATGTAGCGAATTGAGAAGAAACAAATATATAATATAAAAGCCATCATCATCCCGGCCTGAATAGTCAGTTCAGATTTATATTCAGATTTTTATCTATAACTACAAATACATGCACACATTTGTGCAAAATTTATTAATTGTCATCAAACATATTAATAATCACCAAATATATTAATAATTTCCATATAATTTATTTATTTTTTGTGAACTCTTGGTGTCTTTAAACTTTTCTGATATACCGCGGTGTGTTTTCTAAAGCCAAATGATTTTGTACTTCATAACAAAACAGACCACATATAAAAATCATTGAAATATTTCTTTTGAACTGCGCTGAATTGAAGGTTTATTATCAATATAATATGACGTCAATTTAATATGATGTCATGAGGCGTCTCGACAAAATGAGTTAACATGGGCAAAAGAGCGAAAATTTTAAATTGTAGTATATAAATACAGTTAAAATCACTAGATTTACTTAAAATCTTCCAGTGCCGAAGCCATAGGAAATGAAGGACACTTCTGATTGCTTGATTTTTATACTCAGATCAGTAGGTTACTGCTCATATATAACGTACCTGAAAATAAAATGGAAAAATAGCAACTACACCTAACATAAATAGTTCGGCATATAGCGGTACCCGAATCAGACTCACGAATGCGTTGATTGGTATCTTTATCTTTCCAAGAGTTCTGTCTTAAACCTGTCTTGCGGCCAGTATATCGCATATAATCTTACTTTTTAATCCGTTCCGGATGAGCGAGCCAAATCGACACCATTATCTGTTGTTTGAATTGCATTCGACCCGACCGAAATGCGACCCTTATGCGTTTCTTAATCCACAATTCCTTTGTGTCGAAATGCTTGTCTGAATGTCGTGTTGGACACAAAGGTCTTACTGATCACTGATGGTCAAATTAGCTAGTCGTAAAATCGTTGAAAATTTGAATACCAAATTAGGCATGCCGCATGCATCAGTTCTTGTGTTTTGATCTGCTCATATTACATATAATTTGTTGGGATTTGGGAAGGAACGTCCTGTATAAACTGGCACGTTGAGTTTATCGTTTTGAGATTATCGTTTAATAAAATGTCTAATGCTGTTCAGATAAAGACTAAGCATTGCAAAGTTCAAACAACCTTTGGATACAAACAAACCAAGCTAAACCTCGACAGTCAAAGCAATAAACAAAGTGATGAAAGCAAGGCAAAGGGCGAATATAAAAAATCGAAGCGACAGCAAGACTCTTCGGGAAAAGTCTGTAGTCAGGCAGAGCCTATGAAAAGCGAGAAAGAAGTAGTTCACGAGGTCCCTGCCATTGTAACTTCACCAGAGATCAGAAGAGTAATGGTCAAAGAAGGTGTTACGAAAGTTGTTATTGACCTTGAGACGACTTCCCGAGGTATATGATTTTAATACAGAACTGCGTTCACACGGTAGCGGAACCTCTTAATTGTCACGATATCTTCGTTTACCTATATGAAGCAACGATTATTAATTAGCAAATGTTTATTAATTTGATAGATTTGGTATACTTATTCGGATCTCGAGCTATCAATACAAATGCCGGCACGTGCCGTGCCGATAAATTGAGTGGGGCTATAAACGCAATATGAGAAGAAACGCATTTGAGCCCGCGAAGCCCGTTTAAGGCCGAGACACTCCGCATGCGATTTTCCAACGCGACGCGATTTTTAGGAATTTTTCAGTTTTCAAAATCTGCTAATTTTGACAATGTTGTCATATTCTTGGTAATTACTGAATGATAGTACATTTCTACCTATCTGGTACCCATATCTCTCAAAATGTTCGTTAAGAATTCAAATTATTAGCTTCTGCATGAAAATGAAAAATTCGCGTTGCGCGTTGTATTAATCGCGTCTAGTGTGTGTGGGCTTTGGCATTATCCACGGGCGGGTTAAAATCGGGCTGTCAATCGGTTGGCATGTTCCTCGCGTATATATATCACATTCCCTGAATAGCTATACAGTTCTACCTCATTTGAATTAATAATTTTTAAAATCAGAACAGAATTTTTCAAATTTGTTTTTGAGGCTTTTTTCATTACAAAATAAAGTACAATAACATCAATTTCCCATACTTTTTTGCAGCGGAAGACGCTGAAATATGCCAAATCGCAGCTACAGATGGGTCAGACGAGTTCAATATATACATTATTCCTAGAGGATACGTAACATCTGGTGCTACGGCTGTCAATAAACTCCGGAAAAGACGCGGGGCATTATACCAAGGTAGAGAGCGTCTGAAGGCCGTCTATTTAAACCAGGGTATCGCAAGATTCCTAGCATGGCTTAAAATGAAGACACCGAGTTTGCTTATTGCACACAACGGCAGGGCATTCGACGCAAAACATTTGATCAATGCGATCGCCTCGTGCAAGCAGATGTCAGAATTTTCCCAGGCGGTGATTGGATTCTCGGATTCATTGACCGCTTTCCGCGAACTGTTCCCGGAAAGGAAGACTTACAAACAGACAGATTTAGCGAAAGATCTTCTATGCGCAACATATAATGCGCATAACGCTCTTGACGACGTAAGGATGCTTCAGAAGCTTGTATCTAAATTTATAACTAATGACATGCTGTTGAAGCACAGTTTTACGGTCTTCTGGTACCGCGATTATTTATCCTATTCTCAAATGACGCAGGAAAATATGAAAACATTAAAGCCTTTAATCAAGGCAGGAAAGGCTTCTGAAGGAATGGCCGCGAAGATAGCCGGAAGTGGACTGAGAATGAGTCATTTGGAGTTTGTTTACCGAACCGGGGGTGTTGAACGTCTTCGCGAGGTTTTAACTGAGCTCCACGGGGAAAAACCACGCGTGACCAACAATAAAAAAATTCAGGCTGAGATCTGCAGTTTCTTCGAAGAAATCACGAAGGAAGAGAATTTGGAGAATGGACATTCAATTGATACGAAATCATAGAAATTTTCCATACTTTGTTTAAATAAACAGCTTATTATCTTATACGATTAGTAGATTTTACAGCATTATCATCAATCGAAACATATTAAAATGGACCCGAGTTCTACTATATGGTTATGATAACATATTATATCGTATAGGCTACATATTTGGAACTATATTTAACAAGTACTGTACGTGTGTACAACGAAATGCATGTTTGTCCAATTAAGTTTTGAGTTTTTTTAACAAAGGGACTTATACTATGCACACGAATCTCAGACTAAATAATGTTTAAACTTTCTTTATACCTGCGACAAGTTTAGCAATTTCGGCCTTTTAGGCTACCTTTTTTTCCAACAGGGACAGCTGGAAGTGATATAGGTTATAAGTTTGTTCATCACCCGATACAATTAGATGCTAAAGTCGCGTTTACATTACATGCTTTGACCTGGCCTGGACCAAGCCTAGCCGTGTGAACGTTGTTTGTCTGGCCTGGACCTGACGTCTAGCACAATTTTTGTAATGTGATGGGCTTTACCTAGTCCTGACCAATTTTAAACTTATAATAGTATAATCTGTATAGGCTGCATACTACAGGGTGTACCATAAAAACGCAACCTTAATTCCCAGGAGCCTACGATCTTTTTTTATGAATAGAAGGGAGCATATATGAATATTAAGTGGGTTGCAGTTTTTTTATACACCTTGTAGTATTACCACTTTTGGCGTGTTTGGGTCTTGTTTCAAGAGTGTATTTTGTCAATAACGTTGGCTATCCGATGTCAGCGCGAAGAAAGAGGGTGTGAACGTAGCATAATTTTATATTACCTCGCCTAGACCCGGTCCAGGCGAGTTCTAGGCCTCTAGTGTGAACGCGGCGGAGGTGTATCCAAGTCGCTAATTCTGCCTGGAATTGACTTCAACACGCAAAATGTAGTCAAGTGTAGTGTTCATGAAAATGTTGATTTTCCAAGCCTGGCCCACAAAGCTTGAAGAAGGCGTTGTCTGCCCCCCCAACTCCTTCGACAGCTTCCCACTTTTACACCACTGCCAACGATGGAGCGACGTCGTTAGGACAGTGAGAACTTTTGCTTAAGATGGACTTCTGGTGCATGGTGCTTTCTTTGGGGTGGTTGTGATTTGCAGTTCAAAACGAAATACGTGCAATTTCAGAGAGAGAAACAAGAATGGCAGTCCTTACCATGCATCATTTGTGATGGCTCCTTAGCCGATCGTTTTACCACTAATGGACGTGAGTGTTTTTACTTGCCCAGGGAAGCCTTATTTCCACTTTCGTGTTTTGTAGGTAACACACATTTTACGTTTCATATATTTCATTTTATATACGTTGGCAAAACACAATAGGACACAGAACCCTACATTCGTCTAGCGTTTTTTCAAATGAACCACTTCAACAGCTTCGAATAATGTAGCTATATAGAAATATGAGTGTGTACTTGACAGTAAATATGAGCTTTAACGTTGCCTGGCGCTCTATATCCAAACGGATAACGTCGTGACAATGCCCAAAAATTTTGTTTGTAAAAAAGGTCAGGTCACAGTCAGGTTCACCTTTCTTTCAAGCTCGTTTCCTTTTTGTATAACCACTGATTTGTGTATGTCCGTGTGTAAGTGTATAAATTAATTAAAAAAGCCATATTTCCTGATAATATTTTTACTAATACAGCAACTTGACACGAACGTGGTGACAAATATTAAATTTAAAATTACAATGGGGTACATCATTTGTCGAATATATTATAAAAAAACATCACTGACGTGTGCTGACGTGCTCAATAATTATACTAGTAGGTGTATTAGAAAATGTTATACAGATATCATGTAAAATTTTTCCTCGAATACCCATGCATAGTAAAATTAAGAAAAAGAAAGAAACATTGTTAATAATATAATAGTGCCACTCTTTCTTGGCAAGCAACGTCAAGAATTTTTCACCTATATTACCATGCAATAATTAAAACAATTTTATCATACCGCGTCCCATGTGAATGATGCTATATGAAATTATTGTTAATATGTAATATATCGACTTCATCTATAAATTTAGAAAATCGTCTTTCCTACGAAGATACTCGTAAAGGCGATTTTTGCTGTATCTAAAGGGAAATAAGAAAAGAGAATTATTCATGTTACTGGGCTCTAAACAACGACGGGATACCTCACAATAACTGGCTAAACTACGCCGTCAGCATATTAGTGTAAGCGTAGTTTTATATATGTGGGTAATTTAAAAATAATAAACTCAACTAAGTTAACTAACACTTACTCAAGAAAGTCGAAATCAATTGAGGAGAAATTTGCTTGAAGTAATGCCCAGACTCCCCAAAACAAATGCGATACCTAACAGTATATGAAAAACCAATCATTGTCGCACAATAAATCGTTTATGTCTACACCGTAATGTTTGCGGCGATTTTCTTTTTTTCTTACAGATGTGAACAAGTGGACCGTTCATAAATTCTCTAATGTACAAGTTTCTTTGGCTCCACAAAACTATCGAGCCAATCAAACTTTGTGTAAAATTATACTTTCCCCGTTTGACGTCATTATGAAAAAGGTCTATTGCTTCAAAAGATCTATTGCTTATAAAATTATTATTTTATGTTGTTAGCTTAAGCCCCATTTACACTACACTCGATTTATGGGCACGGCACGACTAATACAATGGGTACGTGCGTACCAATTTCATTCGTCCTCGGTTTTTGTATTGGTAGCCTTAACGCTACTAAAATTGGGTACGGGTGCCGTGCGTGCGAATAAATTCCATGTAGTGTAAACGCGGGCTTTAATACAGTAGGGAGGCACTTACCAGCGCAAATTGGTTGACATAAACATATAATTTTTTAATTTGCTCTTCAGTGACTACCTCTCCTGTTCCTAATCAACAAAAAAACAATCATGCGCTTCGTGGGTGTGCATGACATAATTCATTTCATTATAAACTAAATTGCATCCCGCCTCTGTTTAACAAAATTTCGATAAAAATACATTTTTTGTTTCAATTATTTAAGTTTTTTTAAGCTGTTTTCAAGTCTAAAAATTACAGATAAATTTAGTAAATACATCCAAGGTGTTTTTATCTAGATTTTTTCTTCAAGAAACTAGCATAATTTTTGTGTTTCAAGCGACGGTATTAATGTATGCATTATATTTTTTGTCAGAGAGTTGCCAGCCTTAACATAATGATTATACACATTGTGTAAGGGAGCAGTCATTATTAATGCCGGGGGGTGGGCCGGAAGATATTGCTTTACCTGTGGTAAATTTTTCATGGCCCCTCACTATTTCAAGGAAAATATTTATGGCCCCCCCTGTTAGATCAACTAACTTTTCATAGCCCCCCCCCCCCCGCTTGTGTTTATATGTAATTACTATTCTATCAAAATATTTTAAAGACACTTTTTTGCTCCAGCAGAAAATTCATTAAAATTCCTTGCAGAAAAAATTGAGGATATCAGTGTTTTTGTAAAGGATTGCAAACAGTTGAAGGGTAATCTTTTTAACCAGGAAAATTATGTTCTTCCATGGAAAGCGAACGAGTTATTGTTTTTGGAAAGAGCTGCTGCAGAAGCTAATTCAGTGGAAATACAATTGGCTAAAATCAAGGGTGATGTGCAGGAGAAGTTTGACCATCTAAAAAGAAGAGTGCCTGTGGATATTGCTTCTAATTGTGAAAGTAGCCGCTCCACAAGAAGAAAAAAAGAGAACAAACGAAAGCATGATAACTTGTGAACTAGTTCAGAAAGTGGTTAACAGTTATAGTGAAAAGAAAAAGATTGTAGGACCGAAAAAAAAGAGAAAGGTCACAACAAAGAAAAATCAGATGTCACTTCTTACAGCTTTTGGCAACGCCAAAAAATTAAGTGAACATTCATGTACCTCGGATTCTGATTTGGACTAATTAGTATTTTATGCATTTCATTGTTCAGAATTGTTGTTTCATGATTATTGAATAATGCATTAATTTTTGATAGCCCCCCCTACTTCTCTCTGGAATTTTTTGTAGCCCCCCCTAAGTGGTTACAACATTTTTGGTGGCCCCCCCAAATATCTTCCGGCCCACCCCCCGGCATTAATAATGACTGCTCCCTAAGATAGTATGCAGTACCCGCATTGACCGGTTAAAAAGAAATATTGGTGAAACCTAAGTTCTAAATGTCTTGGAGCGAGTATCAACATTAATTAATTAACTCAGTGTCAGTGATAACCGCTTTAGTTCGCTGGAATATTTCTACGAAATAATTTCGATTTACGATTTTCCGATCACAGTCATGCACAGAAAATGACAGTGTATGTATAAAATTCGCCAGGAAAAGTGGAATGGCTTCTTACTTTTTATCTGTTAGCGCGAATAAATTCACCTAGTGGAAAACGGGCTTACGGGAAATGGAATAAAGCATCAAATAATGTCATCTTAGATCAGGCGATAGACCTGAAATCAAAGTCGAAAATAATTTGCATGTCAATGCGAGCTTTAAGAAAACAGCATGAGACAGATGATGCAACTCAGATGACGCAACTCAGATGACGCAACTCAGATGATGCAACTCAGTTAGGCCTGGATTTTTTTAATATATACCTAATACATTGCGGAACATTACAAGTCAACTCAAATAAAGATTGAATATTTTCAATCTCAAATTTATATATAGTAATTACGACTCATTTTACCTTGAACTTTTGCTTTCTCCTCCAAATATATTCTCAACCATCTCATCTGAAATTCTCTACCAGGATATAAACTATAATCTGGATCAATGACAACACCTAAAATCGATCGTTACGGAAACATTTTGTATATGTGGATGTAACAGTCCTGTATGTACAGTATAATTCAGCAGTCATTCTGGATAGTAATTTGTAGATAGTAAGTATATAAATAAAAAGGTTATTCCACATCAATGCGCTCGTGTGCGTTATTACTCGACATGCTAACGAGGGTAAATTACAAAAAAATATGTTCAAGTTATCGAATGCTCACATCTCTCCACGGGGAATTAAGTGTTAACTTTAAATAGGAAAGAAAGTTTAGGCCCTTTGGGACTTTAGTTAGCCGAAAATTAATCATACCTCAACAACTTCGCTAATGCAATGCATATGTATAATCAATGACAATTTTAAAAAGATCATTCAACTTATGACAGAACAACGTACTAAGTTCCATGCTAAATTTAAAACGTTTCATGAATTGGAGAACTTGACGACGAGATGAAAATTTGTGATTTCGACCAATCTCATTTAACGCGCTCGCGTCTTCTCGTTTTTTTCCCATACCTCTAAGAAAATACGATATTCGAGAGTGCAAACACTGTTCTATCATAGTATCAAAAAATTACGCTTGTTAATAGAGGCCAATTCACGAACACCAACGCATTAATTTTTTATTACCTTTTCTTTTAGACACCTTGTATTATGCGATCTTCTCTATTCCATTTCCTAACAGATACTTTCCTACATTGTAAACTTACCTCCAAATTCATTAAAGTGGTTTCCAATGTCAAACGCACTGAAATTATACGCACCATATTCGTAGTCAATAAAAGAAATTTTATCTAAAACAAGGGAAATTGTTGTTGTATTAGGGCAGGTTATCCACTAGCTGTTACATCAAATACTAACTGTCATAATAAAATTCACAACCCATTTATACACAATACAGTTTGCATTTGACTGGCTGAAAATGAATTCGTTTTGACTGTTTGATCTGAAACTGAATGACGTTTGGACTGAAAATGAATTCAGTTTTCATTTTAACGTTTTAAACTTTGCATCAGGCAAGCAAATCCCAGAACAAAGTTTGCATTAGGATCCAAGTAAGGTAGGGATAAAATACGGGTACGGATTGAAAAATGCGAATAAGGGGATAAAATGCGAATCGGGGGATAAAATGCGGATGACGGTTAAAAATGGGAAAAAAAAAACAAAACGATTGTGAAAGCTGGAATTTTCGGTTTCGTGCCAAAGAAACTCTGCACATTTAAAAAGGCATTTCTTTTTCATCGATGTCTGTTTCTTTGGATAATTTCGAGCTCACTATTTCGAGTTCACTATACAAATGGACGGATGACAGTCAAGCCATTAACGGTGATAAAAATCCGTTGATAAGTTGACGACAAGTTGTGAACTAATGCTTTCCGTATGTTTCATTGAAAAAGGAGACGTCATAAAAACAATCATGCATGATCTCTGTGCATTTTCAGGGAGATTACAGATGACATCCTCAGCTATTTCACGTACCTTTTCCCAATTGGGGTGATCATTCAATTCAATATCACTTAAAATTCAATCGCAAATTTCAAGAGAGAGGAACGCACATAAATTGGCTGCACCATTTGTTGGGCGCGACATGTCGGATTTTACCTTGCTGTCTTGCATTTCTGCAGCGAGATGATAGTCGTACCGTTCGATGGCTTTAATCTGGCTGACTGATAAAAGAAGGCAACGAAAGCAATTATTCTCACTTGTGCGAAAGAAATCAAAAAGTTCTGATTTCAATGGTCTTGACATTGGATAGAAATTTGCGCATGAATGAAATACATATTTTCAGTAATATTTCGATATCCTTTGACGCTGTTTTGGATAGTTTGTGAATCAACGGATCCGCTCTTAAGTTTTTTCACTACAACACTTATGGGATGACAATGCTTACTATCTATCCTTTTTATATTTCGCAAGGTAGACAGGACCGAAACTGCTGCAGCCAAGTTTCTTTTTCTTGACTATGTTCCCCATTCAAGTTCAGGGGTTTCCCGTTCTTTTTCTGGCTTTGGAGTGAGCTATGGGAGTTTAAATCTCCCCTTCATGTCAAATTGCCACAATACGGTAATAAAAATTCAGGAGAATATACTATATTTGGGCGTCGTATAATCGTTAACTAAAGACGTAAATCCGCGATGACATCGTATTAAAACTTAATATGTGCCCGGGTTCAAAATGATTTTTTTGTCGTTTCAAAAGTTGTAAATTTCGCTTGAGATATTTCTTAACTTCTGAAACGGAGAAGAAAGCCTTTATATTTTAATATACATAAAGCCCGGGCGGACATCAAATATTCAGTTTTGGTTTTCTGGTATAAGGGCAATGTAAATTAATATTCACCGAGCAATGACCTTAAACAGTGCAAAAAAACCCCTGAATACTTGTTCGATCGTAAGACAAATTCGCAAGTTGGACAAACAGCCATATTTTTACCGCTCATCCGCATTTTCTATCTGCATTTTATCCTCTTATCCGCATTTTATCCTCGCATACGCATTTTCCTATCCGCATTTCCCCATCCGTATCCGCAATTTATCCCTACCCATACTATTATGTGCAAATCTTGAGATATGATACCCAGGTATATATACCCCAATTAAAAACCAAGATACTCCCAAAACCGATGAAAATTTAAAAAAATTTTCACCAGGTCATATCTATCACAATAATTACAAGTAATAAATATAATAAATGAAGAACTCATTTTAGGCAGGTTTACTGCATTCTTAAATTGGGTATATTTAAAAAAAATGATAATGGTGTGCTTTTTATGTCGCTTTTGGAGTACATATATATACCTGTGACCAATTGTATAGAGTAATTGTATAAGTCGACATGTTGATCACCTGACTTTACCAACCACCATGGTGCAAAATGTTTTGCATCAGAATGAGAACAATTGTGGCAATAATATATTGTCTTATTAATGACATAATTTGTACATGAAATCCATGTTTTTAAAAAATAAAATTGAAGATTATTTATAATTACTAGGATTATATAGTTTGGTTTACTAATTATACCTTCATCTTTGTTGTATATGATGTTCTTGACCAGTAAATCATTATGACTGTAAGTTAGAGGCACATCAGCTTCACTAAGCAGGTCTTTGAGAAGTTTCAGTTCATCCACCACATTTATCTTACTTAGAAGTTCCTTTTTGTACCTGCAATAAAAGGTACACAATTAAGGAAAATCATTAACTGTACATCAAAGAAAATTTACCATTTTTAAATTGATCGAGCTCTTAAGTATTTCAATAAAATACAACAACAATAAATCTAAATATATTCCGCGGCATCATAAGCATCCACAGCATGTTAACAGACAACAAAAACAATTGATTTGAGAAAAAAAGATCAACAGCACATTAATATATGCCACCCCCCAATTATCAAGCTTCAGTCTACGTACACCACTGATAGAGTATCCAGTGGGGGCCAGTTGTTCAAAGGTGGGTTAATTAGCACTAAAACCTTGGTTAAATTTCAATCCAATGTATTGGTTTAAGCACTTCTGAACTACTGTTTGTTTTAAAACTTTACCAAATATGCTTCTTGTCCTTCCAAAAAATATTTATGCAAAAACATATTAAACTTTGTAAACAAGTGACTAAAAAATTGATGTAAAGATTTGCTTTAACCCGGCAGGTTAAGCTAACCGGCTTTTGAACAACCAGCCTCAGTAAATATCAATGAGCCATGAAAAATATCAAGATAACTTGAGTAAATACCGTTTTGAAAAGTATCAGAAGTGTTGTATGGCTATACAGTGCCTGCATGCATACTGGGATTTAACTTTATATAAAACTTCTAGAAGAAAACCTTGGCTTTATCTAATTATGTTGATCGAGTAGCAGTCAGCATCATATTCATGATGGTTTGTTTGTAATTAGCAAAATCTTTGTGAGAATAAGCTGACATATTAATTAATGCAATGCTCATATTTCATGGTTATAACCACAAAGCAAAGTGCTACAAAGTGTTTCAACATACTGCATCCAAGGATTTTTTTGTGCAAAAAATCATTAAACTGGTGCAGCATAAATTTCAGATATATTGCAACAGCAAATTCTGTCAAATTCATCAGTTACAATCAAATTATCACAGGCTATATCTTACCCCCAGGGTACAATTAAAAATACCAGACCAATAGGGTATTATGTTAAAAATATGTTAGCAGATGAATTGTAGAGTTTAGAACTTGTCTGCCTTCAAGAATAGTGTTTATATCCTTGTTCTGTTATAGCCCAATGTATGTATAGCATTCACAGTTGTATAGCATTCACAACCATACCAAGAGTTGCCAGTTATTCTATAAGGGCCTCTACCCTGCTGTGAGTTTAATAGGTAAATCCTATATCTGCAAGGGTTTTGCACAACGAACGGGTTCAACTCTTATCTAGCTAGCGTTTCGGCAATCACTAGTATTTGGTGCACTTTATACAGGCAATGCAATTACATCCCAAGTGTAATACTTTATACTACAGCAAGAGTTCCACTTCAGTTAAATATTGCATGCATATAGTGCTGCTCTATATGAATTTATATTAATCTAATAGCGAATACAATGCCCACCTTTCCTGTTTCAAATCATCTTCGAATCTTTCAGGCAGAACACTAAGAAACTTCCCAATCATTTTAAAAACACAAGGCTCGCTAGTTTCAAAATCGCTTGGCAACTCTATCGCGTGAACGCGGGCTAATTTCTTGGCAATCAGTTCACTGAAGTGCTTGTCCGACATTTCCTCTGTCTCAAGTGTTCGACCAGGAATGAAGCCACAGCAATATCCGTTCTCAAAGGTGCCATACAATTTAGGAGCATATCCCTGCGAGTGTAGAAACTCCACATTTATTAGCTCTTGCTTTCTATCGATGAATAATTCTGTTTGATTTCCATATAGTCTGAACATTATAAGATTGCTCTCCGAACCATTTTGCAACATGCAGCCAATTAATTTGTTGCTAATGCCTTCGGTAAAATTCTTAAATTGTAGTTTCCTTCCAGACCACTCTGGCTTGATTTCATAAAGTATTTTGAGGATACTCTGTTCGCTGTCTTCAAATGGAATTGCAAATTCAAAGTGTCTTCGTTTCGTCTTGGTGGCCATCGCGATTCGATTTCAATGGACTGATGACTGTATCGAATATCTCAAATATTTTTTAAAAATACCATATTCAACCATTCTCTGTTACTACATGTGTCAACCACTGACCTATATAGCTCATTGTGTCAGTCAACAAATATTGGCAACATTGAAAACGCCGGGGGAAGAACGCCGAGGGAAAAACGCTGAGGGAAAAACGCCGAGGGAAGAGCGCCGAGGGAAAAACGCCGAGGGAAAAACGACGAGGGAAAAAGGCCGAGGGAAAACGCCGATGGAACCGGGCTATCTTTAAAGGGGGAACGGGGAATCGGGGAACTCGGCAGCAGGGGAAGGGAGGAACTGTGCATGGAGTGGGATGAATAGGGAACAGAGGAAAGGAGGAACTGCGGAGTGGGAGAACTGGGTAACGGGGCAATGCAGAGCAGGGGGATAGAGGAACTGGGGAGCAGGGGAGATGGATAGAAACATGCAGGGGAGAGAATGGGGGAATCAGGAATGGGGAGTGGGGGGAAAGGGAATTCCTCTGTGGCTCTGTTTCTCAGTTCTCCTGCTACCCAGCTCCCCCATTCCCCTGTTCTCCTACTCCCCAGTTCCTCCAAAGTAACACACAAAAGTAACAAAACTGTAAATACTACAATTTCTATTATTCATATGGATCTGATCAGAATTATACATGTGTATAATGTATTATATACACATTAGGAACACATTAGGAAGCAAAATGAAAATTATATACACAGAACAGTTTCTTAATTGAGCAAGGTTATTCCCATATAACCTATGATCTGTTGTATTTTTCATTATATTTTGAATAGATATCACTATTCAATTGAAAATTTGCATGGCAACTAAATGAACACACTTATTGTTTCCACATGATTTTAAAAGTCACACAACAATACCATTATGCTATTTATAGTCTTAATTTTTCCTGAAAGGGATTTATATTATGATTTTTCACTTGGGTAATATAAGAAAGTTTCACAAACCACTTGGCCACACAGGAAGAATATGATCTTTAGTTTTTGACTTGGCATTATGCAAAATAATAACAACATAAATATATATTTGTAATTAAGATTCCAGATCCGTTTTCGCGAACCCGGAGCCACGAGCCCGGAGCTACGAACCCGGAGCTTAGTATCCTGTCATTGATTTCACTAACATTTTCGCTGCAATACTTGCATTAGCAGTTGTGTGCGATACTGACCAAGAGGAATTTCCTGTCGTCTTGCTTCTTCTCGATTGTACATTGCTTGCTGGATAACGGGACGACTGATATCCGCTTTATTCACCGCTTTTAGAGCACTGATAGCCTGTTCGACAATGTTGAGAAAGCCCGGGCTGTAAGGTGGTAATTTTTTCAGCTCTGTGTTTTTCTCGCCAGGATTTTCCGGGTTGTTATTACGCGCTCATCGGGATCGAGGTTGCGTCTTGTGTTGGCAAGCTTAGTCTATTCATCCCACTAAGCATGGCAGAATGAAAAATCAGACCAGAGGTCTGCGAAATAGCAAGTGCTACTGTGAGGTTTCCTCCTCTCTGACCACAAACTTGTCTGCATGCACGTTCCCCATCAACATAGATACAACACGCAATATGATTTGGCAGAATCTACACCTTTGGGGCTGGACAGTTAAGTTCATAATTGTTACACTTGAACACAATTGAATAAATACTGAGGACCAGTGGAACGTAATTGTCCACAAGATTTACAAGGATAAGGAACTCCTTGCACTTGCCAAAGACAGAAAGAATTTCATCCCTAACAAGTGTCCACCCCCCCCCCATAGATAACCCACAGTAGTAATGATATTCTTCAAGGCTTTGCTTTCTTTACCAGTTTAGCCTTTTCCCAAAGAGGAATGAGTATAGATCCGCAAAAATGTGATGGAATAGCAGCAGTACACACTCTCCGGCATTCAGAGAAATATGTAGAGGACCAATGAGAGGGATTACATTCTTCAGAGCTGTGGATAAAGAATTGCATCGTTGTTTGTTTCAACACACAGCACAAACCTAAGACATGTTGCCTTCATGTTTATTCACTAAATTCTGTTCCTCATAAATTTTTAATAAATTTTTGAAAATCTTTCTTAGTTTTTCAGCAACTCTGGGCTTTATAATTATAGAACCTGAACAAACACGGTAGGCACCGACAGATAACACTATGATCGCTGAAAAATAGCGCGGCGGGCATCGCTTATATATATATTGCTTGCCCTTAGGCAAGCAGCACACTATTCTTGGCGCTTTTTTGACATGAAGTTTTTCACATTTACTCGTGCGCAGTCTATTTGGCTGAGTTATGTAAAGTCAACCGAAACTCGACTTTTGTATGTCTGTCTGTATTCCGGGGGGTCACGGCAGTTGCAGGTTGTTCAGACTGGGGGGGACGATGTTAAAATCAAAGGCGCTAGTCCCCTAGAGGGTTCGGGGGCATTCCTCCTGAGAAAATTTTTATTTCTAGGGTCTCTAAAACGCAATTTCCAACATTTTCAGGCAGGTTTTATGACAATCTGAAAGCCACAGATCGGCGATTTTTGTTATAAACCAACAGTTTTAATTCACAATTGCAACTTTCTGTTCTTAGCTTATCTAAATGTGTCAACAAGAGTATCCAACTCAATCGTATCTGCAATATCTCTTCCTATGCTGATATATTATTCTAATGTTATCAGTTTACGTGATCACTGAAAGTAACGTTTAATTCGAAAATTTCTTTATTTACACGGCTGTTGGAAATAAGAATCATTGTACCCCCCCCCCTCACTTTTCTCTTCAGATTTAGAAAAATCTCAAAAGTGGTCTTTAGAGTAACTGGGGAGGACTCGTCCCCAGTTCCCCCTGGCGACGCAACTGGGTCACGGGGGTGTCTCATCCGGGAAACGTACTGCATTTCCGGGGTTCAGATTATTCTTAGGGACATATGTCCCAGCTCTGGGAAGCCTTCGCCCATGTGGATAATGCTTTTCTATGCTTTCTAAAGAGCGAAGCTATGCTATTGGTTGAAACAGAAATGTATTGTGAAGTTTAGCAAAAGCAAATAATTCTTGCGAGGAGCTGCAACACTACCCTATTATTCAGTGAGGGGTTGTACAAGGTAGAGAATGGTAAACATTTAATGGTAAATTGGTAATATTCATATTTGTATTTCGTCAGTTCCAAGATGCGTACTACACAAGCAAGTATATTTTGTTTTTAATGCGGTAACCTCATGGTAAACTGGCATTATTTTATATATCTGCATTTCGTCTATACGAGACACGTTTTCAAATGTGCAGGCTGCTCCCATATAAAATATATATTGAAGTAATATGCGAGGTAATATGTGCACTATAAATATATCGTATCAATCTCATAATTCTCTTGAACTGTTTATATCCTTATTTAAATGAATTAATTAATTTATATGTTTTAGTTAAATGCCATGTAATCATGCTCACTGATTTGTGCTAGTTAGTGCTCGTTTGAACACAAATAAACTTTTAGGGAGCATGATTGAATTAATACGGTTTAAGTTCGCGTAATGTGGCATATTTATCTTCATGTGAGGAAATTTTTTGCATTTTTTTCCTTTGCCAATTTTACCATTGCATGAAACTTTGCATGCAAATATAATCAATACAGCCTTTGGAGGTAGAAATTAAATTCAAATATAGTTTGTTTGTAGGTGATGAAATACCATATGCTATCAACATAATGCTACCCAGTTCTGCATTTCAAAAGTTGATATGGTGAATAACAGCACGTGTCTATAAAAGGGGAACTTTACAAATCCATTGTCTGAATAAAACATCAATGAGCATAGAATATAAGATAAAGTGACAGTAATACCTGCATGATGAAAGCAAAGTTTTTGCCCAGAAATTGTAGATTGTATGCTTAAAATATTTGAAGTGATAATACCATCACATCCCATTATCAATGAGTTTGGCCACCATAACATTTAATTTTTCCAAATGTAATCAGTTCAATGTTAGGCATAATACGACGTCTTTAAATTTTTATTTACTCATTTGCCTTATCTCGTCAGTTTTTATGTTTGCTATTTATTTTAAATCCAGTAATAAATAATTATTCATATTTGCACCACGGCAATTAAGACTTGTGATTAAGAAAAATATGAATACTATATATTTACTATGTGTTACTGATTCTTCATTTTTTGGTTAAATTTTGTTCACTGATCTTTTCTAATGCATTTTGTCTTCAATAATGTCACAATGCTGCATGCAAGAACATTTGAGAAGTTCCTTAAAAATTTTTACAAAAACAACTTGTCTTCAATGAAATTCATTCAGACATTTTAGTAATTAAACTTGCAGAAATGAAGATCTTTGCTTAAGATTCCCAGCAACAATTTCTCCTTCTGATAAGAACTCCTAGTCTGATGAATATTATATTAACTTTGGCGGGCATTGTCGCGGTATATTTTACGAGCTAGAATGATAAATCTGCTGCTGATCTAAGCCAATCAAAAGAATGACTATTTTACCCGTTGCATAATTTAGTTTTTATATTAGAAATACATGCATGCAGCAACCCCTCGCCATTTTAAACGAAGCAAAATATTTCGTGCGCTACCCAGACCTAACTTTCTACGCTAATATTATGAAATAACTCGTGCAAATTTCTCGGAAACAAAGACAGTCGTAAAGGTGAACAGAAATCACCTGTTTGCCCTGCTGCATTACGTTGCAGTTTAAGTGAATATTAAACGTTTCTTTAGCTAAACCTTCAAAGCATCAAAACAGCACAAATAATTATAATAACCATACAAGCACTAAACGTCGAATGTTGTTTTTCGATTATTTATTTTATTCAATGATTTTAGCGACTATATAAGCTGCAAAGTGATATTTGTTTTATCAAAACTCTGAAGTACACTTTTGAGAATTCTTTTTAAAGTTTAAGCGATGATTTAATGCCTTAAACGGTCGGTTAGCTCCTTGTAAAACGACATATACCAAACTCGTACTTGTCAAAATAACAGTGCATTCTTACAGCAAACAATGAATAAGCAAAATATAGACACCTAACACTTCAAAGATTATAAACTAACGCCTGTATTCTAAAAGCTCACTCACACTCAAACTCATTGAGTGGGAGATCCTAATCTTCTCATAACGTTTCCATGGCGGTATTTCCAGCCGAAAAGGGGCTTGATTTTCAGTGATTTACCTTATATCTTTCCATCTATTCAGAAAAAACTTTCTCATTGACCAGCATTAACAAAATTTATATGCCACACTCGATGACTGTGAGTGTGAGTGAGCTTTTTGAATACAGGCGTAAGAGTCTTTCCTATATATTTCACCAACTGTTTCTTTGCGTGATGATCTCTGAATCTTTCATTATTATTTCTATGATTTGACTCCATGATTTCATTTTATATTTTTAAAAAATAGTTTGCAAAATGACGGTTAAAATGCTGACGCTCTCATGCATGCTCTCTTTTTGTCTTAGCCAATCAGCAAGTTGTAGACGACCGTTCTTTCTTCATTCAAATTTCGCGCATGCGCACAACTACCATGACCATTGAACGTCCATGACATTTGGGCAACTTTGGATTCGTCTATGTTCTGTCAGAATACCCGGGTGTAATTCCTAATCTCCGGGCGGGATTAGTACCTTGGGGGACAAAAATTGGCCTTCAAAGTAGCGAGGCAGCATACTATTCTTTACGTGTGCTTGGGGCTTCTCCAGTGTTCGCTCGACCCAGTTTTTTTTTGCGCGACCTATATATTGTCGACATATCGATCTTGCGTCTGTCTATGATGTTTCCATTCTGGGGCAATATTTGAGGGGGGGGGGTGTCAGTGGAATTATTTGTAGTGGGCACGCTAGTAATTGATACAGTTGATATTTTACAGAAGAAGCTTTACAGAAAATATCGGTTGTGGTATGGCTTTTTTATTGTTGCCGATATACAGGGTGTATCAAAAAAAATGTCCCAAATGTAAAATATCCGTTTTTCAGGATATTTTGCAGAATTTGGCAAAATTTTGTGTTCCTAGAGATAGTTAAGACTTATCTGGTATACCTAGGCCAAGTTTGGTTTTTCATTAACAAAATTATGTTACCGGGGGGGTGGTTCCTTTCCACTGATATTGAGAGGGCTTGCGCGCGAAAATGTGAAGCTGAAATTGAGATATTATTTAGCTGTCTAAAAGTAGGAAAGCTTTTTAATAAACTGTCAAAGTTTCAGGAAAAATAATGCATACTGGGAGCAACGCACGACCCCTAAAGGTGACAAATATTTCATTGCGCGCAGTGGATTAAATGCATCGTTGATTTTAGCGTGACCGATCTCAAGGTGGGCAAATGAATAAATTAAAGCGAGAAACTGAACACAAAAACAAAGCGATTTATTCGTGATGTTAATCCTCAGCATGTCCACCATTTCATTCTAAGCAAACTGCGGCTTGTCTGAGCATACTAAACACTGAACAGCGGAACTATTTGTCTGTCCATTCGCCTAGATTTGCCGGTGGTAGCGTAGGCGATTTGCAAGAAAGAATTTCGAACGAAATGGATAATTTGAAACAGGACAGACAAATGTGGTTCGCCGTTCAGTGTTTACCATGCTCAGACGAGCCGCAGTTTGTTTAGAAAGAAATGGTAGAGATGTTGAGGATTGACATCAAGAATAAAAATCTTGTTATTAAATCGCTTCGTCTTCTTGTTCAGTTTCTCGCTTTAATTTATTCATTTGCCCACCTTGTATGAGATCGGTCACGCTAAAATCAACGATGCATTTAATCCACTGCGCCAATGAAATATTTGTCACTTTTAGGGGTCGCGCGTTGCTCCCAGTTTGCACTATTTTTCCTGAAACTTTGACAGTTTATTAAAAAGCTTTCCTACTTTTAGACAGCTAAATAATATCTCAATTTCAGCTTCACATTTTCGCGCGCAAGCCCTCTCAATATCAGTGGAAAGGAACCACCCCCCGGTAACATAATTTTGTTAATGAAAAACCAAACTTGGCCTAGGTATACCAGATAAGTCTTAACTATCTCTAGGAACACAAAAAATTGCCAAATTCTGCAAAATATCCTGAAAAACGGATATTTCACATTTGAGACATTCTTTTTGATACACCCTGTATATACATCAAGGCAATGAACTGTTTAGCGTTCTTTCCAGAGGTGGAGCAATGTGCTTTTATCGGCGCTTTTAACAGCACAAAATATTTCATTATCCGCATGCTCGACAAGTGGATTTAACATATCATAGCATCAAATGTGGTATAAAAACTGCCAAAGTAGACAAAACACTTCTCGACGTTTCGACCTGAGGGCCTTTGTAAGGAGAGTTAAAACATACTAACTCTCCTGACGAAGGCCCTCAGGTCGAAACGTCGAGAAGTGTTTCGTCTATTTTGGCAGTTGTTATACCACATTTGATGCAAGTTGTTTGAAGACGCTGCCACGCTGCTCCCTGGTTATATTAACATATCTTATATGCATAAATGCATGTGTTTTTGGCCGGCTTGAACTCACTAATATTTGATCACTTTTGGAATATTGGATTCGGTTTTCGCGAGATAAAAATGTATAATGTATAATACCGTAATTCAGTGCTTTTCTTGTTTCTATCTCTATAATTATTATGACTCCAAATTAATATTCCCATAAACTCTCTTTAATTTGACTTGAGCAGTTTTTTATCGCCAAATAAGTCAAACGTACAGCGCTATCGCTAGCAGCCACTGCAAATAAAATAGTCCGCTGGTCAAACTCATAAAAGTGCTGGCATGCATTACTTTCACAAGTTCTCGTTGTTGTCTCATACAGACGAGCGATTTTGCTATGGCAAGCTTAAGTACACTTGTTTAAAATCAAGTATATACTTGATTTTGAATAAAGCCTCTTGCAGACGAGCTAGTTTTATATGACAATTTTTTATACGACAAGTTTTAATTGGCAATTGCAGTGTGTATGTACAACAAATTTTCTATTACAATTTTTTTTCTTTGACAATTAAGTTTTTCTTGCTCGTGTGAACGTGCCAACAAGTTTGCTTTGACAATTTAGTTTGCAGTTAGCGATGTAATCGTACTGCGGAAAACATAAGCGCGCTAACAGGCGCCACCAGGCGACAGTCTTTTTCTTGTTTCTATCTCTATATGATTCCGAAATAATATTCCATAAACTCTCTTTTGACGTTAGCACCTTTTATCACCAAACAGTCAAACGTGCAGCGCTAATGCTAGCTGCCACTAAAAAAATACAATAGTCCGCTCATACAAGTGCTCACATTACTATGACAACTTTTCTTTGTTGACTCATTCCCACGATAGAAACGAGCTCGGTTAAAATAGTTCAGTAATAATTTAAACACTCGTAATATGCCGCGTCCCATGTGAATGATGCTATATATATATGAAATGATTGTTAATATGTATGATAATTTTATATCCACCTAATCTATAAATTCAGAAACTCATCTTTCCTACGAAGGTACTCGTAAAAGCGATTTCTGCCGTATCTAAAGAGAAATAAGAGGAGAGAAAGATGCATGTTATTGTATAGGCTCATAAACGCCTAATTTTCGGTTTACGGAAAGCTCCAACGAAGAAGATGGGATTGAAGAACAACCAGTAACAATGGAGCCTGCAGTCATGGTAAATACACAACCCATATAAGGTTGGGTAGATCTCCAGCTTGGTTTGATATTAGCTCAAGCTCCATGAACATTAATTGAACGTCCAACGTCCACGGTCCATGATACAGAATTTGGACAACTTTGGATTCCGCTATGTTCTGTCACAATACCCGGGTGTAATTGCTAATCTCCGAGCGGAATTAGGACCCTTGAGGCGATAGTTTTTAAATATATATACAATATAATAATCAAAACACTTACTCAAGAAAGTCGAAATCAATCATAGAAAAATTTGCCTGAAGTAATGCGTGGACTCCCCAAAACAAATGCGATACCTATAGGTATGTGAAAAACAAATCATTCTAACACAGTGAATCGTTTGTATATACATGCACTGTAATTTTCATGCACTGATTTCTTCTTTTAGATAGATCATAGATGTGAACGAGTAGGCGTTTTTGAACACCATGCAATGTATAAGTTTTATTATTTGCACAGCCGTTACCTATCCGCTCGCTCACATCTATCCAAGAAAAGAAAATCGTCTGGTAAATTGCTGTAGCGAAAATCACAAGGGTAGACGAGATAAGTCAGAGTCATTGTAGATGCAGTTTCAACTTACTCCATTATTAAGCCTACATATACAGGGTGTCCCAAAAAAAAACGCAACCACTTAAATATGCAAAAATATTAATATTGTTCGGGTTTAAGCACCATAGTTCAGCTAAAATGACTTTTAGCACTGTAAATGAAAGATTAAGAGCCATTTTCAATTCCCAGAGGTGCTTATCTATTGCGCTTTAGAGCTGTGTGTTCTGCATATTTAAGTGGTTGCTTTTTTTTTGGGACACCCTGTATAATTTCATTGTGCTGGCTTGATATAGCAGGGAGGCACTTACCAGCGCAAATTGGTTAACATAAACATATAATTTTTGAATTTGTTCTTCAGTGACCACATTTCCTGTACCTAATCAACAATAAACGTCGCTATGTCAGGCTTATTAACAGAAGAATGCCTAATTACTTAAGGAGATGAGTTGTTTCGTAGTCCTATTGCAAAAATGAGCTCAACAGAAGAAGGACGTATCATGAACGAATAATCAGAGAAGTACAACATATATAGATTTTCTTTTCTCCTCTTTTTTTGAACAGCGCGAGCATGGTATGGATACCACAGTAATATTGCAGTACAATTATGTACGGGAATATGGCATATTCATGATTGCTGATAACAATCGTAAACCCTATGATGGATGCATGAGATGCAGAATTAGTTTTTGACAGTGACGTGTTTAAAGGGAGCTATGCATGGTTGTTCTCTCCTAAATCTTCCCTTCCGTTCTGCTCGTTTAAAGAAATTGACCGAATATCAGGGGCCGGTTGTATCAAGCCCGTTTAGCTTAAACGGTGGTTATATAGTTGAAAGCAAAATTGAAAGCAAGTCTATCGTTTTATTCAACAAGCGAACTAAATTTTTTAAATTTTAATAGAGAATACTGGTTACAACTACATACTGTATTCAGTACATAATATTAAAGTTGACTCATTCAAGAGAGATGTGTGTTATTTAATTTTGACTTACCCACCGTTTCAGCTAAAGGGGCTTGATACAACCGGCCATAGAACTTTTTACTATATACATTTTTTGTTCTTGTAAATTAAGGTTATGCATGTAAAGATTTTTGCGATTGTTAAAAAACAAAAAAAACTAATAGATTGGGTATCGCTATAAAAAAATCAAAACAAAAAAGTAACTAATGGTTGAGTACTAACATAATTCAGTATAATATACTATACTATATATTCTCCCTACGTTCTTCAGCACGAAAAGCGAAGAACATGCATTTCGTTCATCTTAGTATGCATGAAGAGATTGCAATATACCCAATCTATTATTGGGTACATAGAAGTCAATTCTCAAATGAAATAATCATATTGAATCTAAAATTTGGTAATTGTGGCGTCTTTTTACCTTGAACTTTTGCTTTCTCCTCCAAATATATTCTCAACCATCTCATCTGAAATTCTTTACCAGGATATAAACTATAATCTGGATCAATGACAACACCTGAAATGATTACGAAAACATTTTGAATATGTGGTGTAAAAGTTGGTCTTTATACACTTCATGTATATTTTAGCGTACAATTTACTACAATCCTGCATGCATGTATTCATTCAACACAAACTGTATAGACAGTAATTTGTAAAGTATATAAAAGGTAATGTAACAACAATGCGCAGCATGATTTTTTTATATTACATCGTCACAACAACTACGAGCATGAAATGTATCGGTATAATCAATGTTTTAAAATGGAAGACGATTCAAGTAACAAAAGAACACCTAAGTTCGGGGGAAAACATTTCTCGTTGAAGGAATGTAGCCTTTTATTAATTGGTAGCCTTTTATTAATTGCGCGTAAATACGTTTAAAAATCATGCGTATAAATTAAAGCTGTATATATAGTTCTTGCAATCTTTATTAAAATATTTTTTTTATACTGGCGCCAAGGCGAAAATTTGCGACTTCATTTTTTCCATGTCATGAAAAATTACGCTTGTTTCCATTTTTGCATTATAGCATCATTATAGCATCATTTTTGCATGAGTAATTCACGAGCAGCAACTTATTCGAACAGAATCCTATATCGCTCCTATCTTACCTCCAAATTCATTAAAGTGGTTTCCAATGTCAAACGCGCTAAAATTATACGCACCATATTCGTAGTCAATAAAAGAAATTTTATCTAAAACAAGAGAAAATTAGTATTAGGGCAGGTTAGGCTGCTGCATGAATCTGATTTTCATCATAAAGTTTTTAATTTTGCATCAGAATTGCATGCAAACTTCAGAACAATGTTTGATTTAGTATGTCTAAATGTAGGTCAATTCAGTAAGTCCATGTATGATTGCCACCTGGCAATATTACAGATGTAGTAGAGAGTTATCGCCGATCGGTTCATATTTTCGCTCAGATCTTCCAACTTTTTGTCAATATCATGCACGTATTGAAGTTTATGAGTTCACGGCAACCAGGTATATAATCCATCGTAATTATCGCTACTCTGGTTTTAGTAAATGAAAGTAATCACCACACAAAGATTAACTTTCACGACCCAACGTTTCGACACTCCGGTCTAGTGTCTTCATCAGGGGTGATCTGATGTTGAAACTCGGTTCCTTATATACTCTCAAAATGACGTCATCTATTAATCAGATGTAAATACTCTTTTGGCAAATAGCTTCCGTCATCCCTATTAAGAGCACAAAGACTCGCATTAATATGCCAGGCTTCCAAACAACGCCTTTGTCCATAACGATCATTAGTGGTAATGACTTTTGAATCGTTCCACCCAATGTTATGGTTAGTTTGACACACGTGTTCCGCCAAGGCTGATTTTGAACTGTTTAAGTTCGATACGGCCTTTTGATGTTCTTTTAAACGTGTGCCGAACTGGCGTTTTGTTTGACCTAGATATTCTTTCTCGCAATCACCACATGGTATAGAGTATACAGCATGAGTTTTCTGTTTAGTCGCTACGCGATCCTTGGGTTTCGCGAAAATATGTCCCAATGTCTGAAAGGGTTTTAAGGCAACTTTTATACCACAATTATTCAGGATCCTCCTGATTGGTTCTGCAATTCCCTGAATGTATGGAACTATAGCAAAACCTGTTTTTGAAGAATCACCCTCTGAGGGATTGCATCTAGTCGAGACAGGGGATTTTAGACAATCATTTAAAAAGTTTCGAGGATAGTTGTTCTCTCTCAGTACACTGAGGACATAATCACGCTCGTTGTCCCTAGCAACGCGATTGGATGGTAATGATTCAGCTCTTTGAAACAAAGTTTTTGCAACAGACTTTTTATGACTTTTTGGATGGTGTGCAAAATTACATGTGCTATGTGAACACATTTTTAAAGTCATAAAAAAGTCTGTTGCAAAAACTTTGTTTCAAAGAGCTGAATCATTACCATCCAATCGCGTTGCTAGGGACAACGAGCGTGATTATGTCCTCAGTGTACTGAGAGAGAACAACTATCCTCGAAACTTTTTAAATGATTGTCTAAAATCCCCTGTTTCGACTAGATGCAATCCCTCAGAGGGTGATTCTTCAAAAACAGGTTTTGCTATAGTTCCATACATTCAGGGAATTGCAGAACCAATCAGGAGGATCCTGAATAATTGTGGTATAAAAGTTGCCTTAAAACCCTTTCAGACATTGGGACGTATTTTCGCGAAACCCAAGGATCGCGTAGCGACTAAACAGAAAACTCATGCTGTATACTCTATACCATGTGGTGATTGCGAGAAAGAATATCTAGGTCAAACAAAACGCCAGTTCGGCACACGTTTAAAAGAACATCAAAAGGCCGTATCGAACTTAAACAGTTCAAAATCAGCCTTGGCGGAACACGTGTGTCAAACTAACCATAACATTGGGTGGAACGATTCAAAAGTCATTACCACTAATGATCGTTATGGACAAAGGCGTTGTTTAGAAGCCTGGCATATTAATGCGAGTCTTTGTGCTCTTAATAGGGATGACGGAAGCTATTTGCCAAAAGAGTATTTACATCTGATTAATAGATGACGTCATTTTGAGAGTATATAAGGAACCGAGTTTCAACATCAGATCACCCCTGATGAAGACACTAGACCGGAGTGTCGGAACGTTGGGTCGTGAAAGTTAATCTTTGTGTGGTGATTACTTTCATTTACTAAAACCAGAGTAGCGATAATTACGATGGATCATGCACGTAGTATTTTATATATACACTCAATCGAGACCACGCGTATCACCAATGTCAGACGATCGTCTTTGCCGACTGGTACGAGCTTAAATTGCAGATATTAATGATCAGATAATTCAGAATGTTGTTGCTGAAACCATGATTTGACAACAGAGGAAGTGGTGGTAAAAATTAATATGGCTTTTATGCAGAAAACGTTGCCTTCTCTTTATTAATCAAGTTGTGGAAGTGTAATCTAAGGATTATATAAAACTTAAACGATTTTATTAAATATTTCCTGTGTATTGTCGTCTCTCATGAAAGGTTACTTCTCAGACTACGTTTACACTACTCCGGAGCGAAAATGTGACGGCAGAATTTGACTGCGTTTACACTTATCCCTTTGAATTCCGGTGCGGTTTCGTGGGCGTTTGTTTACACATAATCGTCATTCACTGTCAACATTCGTGAGTTAACGTTTTCGCAAAAAATTCGCGAAAGGTCGCGTGGTGGCGACATTTTACGATTCTTGCCAGAATATTTCGGGAGAGAGCCCTGCTACGGAAATGATAGACAATGGTATAGAACACGCACCATATTCGTAGTCAATAAAAGAAATTTTATCTAAAACAAGAGAAAATTAGTATTAGGGCAGGTTAGGCTGCTGCATGAATCTGATTTTCATCATAAAGTTTTTAATTTTGCATCAGAATTGCATGCAAACTTCAGAACAATGTTTGATTTAGTATGTCTAAATGTAGGTCAATTCAGTAAGTCCATGTATGATTGCCACCTGGCAATATTACAGATGTAGTAGAGAGTTATCGCCGATCGGTTCATATTTTCGCTCAGATCTTCCAACTTTTTGTCAATATCATGCACGTAGTATTTTATATATACACTCAATCGAGACCACGCGTATCACCAATGTCAGACGATCGTCTTTGCCGACTGGTACGAGCTTAAATTGCAGATATTAATGATCAGATAATTCAGAATGTTGTTGCTGAAACCATGATTTGACAACAGAGGAAGTGGTGGTAAAAATTAATATGGCTTTTATGCAGAAAACGTTGCCTTCTCTTTATTAATCAAGTTGTGGAAGTGTAATCTAAGGATTATATAAAACTTAAACGATTTTATTAAATATTTCCTGTGTATTGTCGTCTCTCATGAAAGGTTACTTCTCAGACTACGTTTACACTACTCCGGAGCGAAAATGTGACGGCAGAATTTGACTGCGTTTACACTTATCCCTTTGAATTCCGGTGCGGTTTCGTGGGCGTTTGTTTACACATAATCGTCATTCACTGTCAACATTCGTGAGTTAACGTCTTCGCGAAAAATTCGCGAAAGGTCGCGTGGTGGCGACATTTTACGATTCTTGCCAGAATATTTCGGGAGAGAGCCCTGCTACGGAAATGATAGACAATGGTATAGAAACATTGGACATCTTGTCGCAGGATCCAGTACATGATAATATAGATGAACGCTACTTGAAAAGAGAAGAAGAGCATGGTGAAGATTATGGCCAAGGGGAAACTGATAAAGAAGCGACTACCACAAATCGTTTGAAAAGAAGAAATTGTGGTTGATCGTATTGACTATTGTAAACGAGCGAAATTCAAAATTATTGAAAAAGTACCTATGGAAAAAAGCATTACTCGATGTGGCTAAAGAGGACATGGCTTTGAAAAGAGAAATATATACGGAAATAAAAAAGTCAGCCAAAGTACAGTGTGATCAAATGAGAATTCTAAATGATATTATCACTGACCCATCGTAAGGGACTGGTAATAAAGTGCAGCGAAATATTAACCGTGCAGTGTTTACACAACGCCATGTAGCGCTCCGTTTTCGTTCAACCACGTTTAGAAAGTGTGGTCGTGGCGCTGCGGCAAAGGTGATGGTTTCGAACAAATCCGCTCCGGTGCGGTGTAAATGCAATCCCGGTTTGATAGTTTTTTGCACCGTTTTCGGACCGATCCGGAGTAGTGTAAACGTAGTATCAATATTCTGCATTTGTTAAAAAGAGACACTGGGTTTGTGTCAAAAACAAATTTTTGACTGTTTCTCGTTGTAACTTTAATTTACAAAAATTAGCAAATTATTGTAATTCCTGTGCATAGTTTTAGATATTCCAAGATAATTACTCTCTAAGTCTGCCTCAAACGTTCAAAAACTCAGAAAACCACCCTTCAAATTTGGCTTCAAAGATAGCGTTTAGCGTCCCATGTTTTAATATCTAGGTTAACAGTAGTCCCCACTGCTTACTTACCAATTTGGAAGGTTAGGTGGAAGCTGTAGTCCGAGGTGGCCCGAGAACGAGGCAAGGTCGCAGGTGGCCTTGAAACTAGCACTGGTACTTGGATTAAAGAAAGATCCATGCCAACCAAAAGATGCTGCAAGCATCACCCATCCAAGTACCGAGCTAGCGAAGCGCGGGCTATGGACGCTGGCCAGAAGATGACATAAACAGATTGACCAGAATAACGCGCTGTTGTTGGATACAAACGACATACCGTACTATCTGCGGGATCGCAAGATAGATTTGCTAAAATAATGCGCTGTCGTTGGATATAAACGACAAACCGTACTACCTGCGGGAACGCAAGATAGATTTGCTAAAATAATGCGCTTTCGTTGAATACAAACGACAAACTGTACTATCTGTGTGAACGCAAGATAGATTTGCTAAAATAATGCGCTGTCGTTGGATACAAACGACAAACCGTACTACCTGCGGGAACGCAAGATAGATTTGTTAAAATAATGCGCTGTCGTTGGAAACGAACGACCACAGGAAGGACAAACGCACACGATATAGGCGCAAAATGGTGTGAGGTGTGAGGCGCTGGCGGCAAAAGAAAACGTCGGGCACGACAACGACCGACGCATACTAACGGAAAAGACGATCGATTAGACAGAATTTCGTTCAATATTTTTTTTCATTTTTAATACCACAATTATTACTATTTACAACTCAAAGAATACATTAACAACAACTAGTGCAGTGCATATATAAAACTTCGTGTTTATGTCAAAAGGTGTTGACAAGGTGCGTGTTAAACTGCCAAACGGGAAGCTACGCCCTCTAGGGTTGCCGCAGGTGCACATGCATATACAATTGATATGCATCACAAATCCAGTGGCCAAGTGTTTTAATCAAATGGTCAGGAATACCAACTGCGGCGGCTGTGGTTGTGGCGCCAATTCGAAAACTATGTCCGGAATAATGTCCGGTTTGACCGATACGTAACATCGCATCTTTGAGCCAAGTACAAAACTTGTCACGCGATAAAGGTTGTCCGTTTGGAAGGGCGAATAAAGGTCCTGGACTATTGCCTCGAAGATGAAGATAACTCATCAGGGCTTGCACGGCGCAAATTTTCGCCCGGGATGCACCAATACGCACAACGTGACCCTTAAAAACTGATCCATTCTGGACACTTTAATATTGATTAATACCACCGTAGGGTTAATGCGCTTATCAACTTGGATATGTCATTCAAGGACAAATTGAGATTAGTATCAAAGCGCGATGAGTGTGTTGTGAACTCGCCGTACCGCAGAAAGCCAAAAAAGCCTGTCAAACAAGCGGCCCAAAATAACGCGTCCATATACTTTGTCTGGTCGATTAGCTGATACAGTTTTCGTAAAACCGAAATCGTAATAGGTAAACGTTTTTGAGTCCCAGTCCCTTGTAATCTCTTTATGCCCCGCAGCACTCGTTCCAGACGAAAGCAGTTCTCTAGGGGGTTTCTGAAACCGTGTTCAATGTGCAAAGACCGAACTCCAGAGTCCAGAGAGATATACTTTAATGGAACTGGCTTTAAGAGAACGAGATAAGTGCGCGGCGAACAACATAAACGTGTGTTCGCTGGCTGGTAGAGGTGAACCGCCGTCGTGAATAAGGCCTGACCAATAGCAAAACTCCAAAAATCTGCGTTGCGATGCTGAATATGTCCGTCAGTAAATTTGGCGAGGCCGTGAAATAGCAAAGAGTTGGTGTAATCCGTTAAATATAGCAGGTCAGCTGTGCTCGCAAACTCACTGGTACCTCCACTGGGGTGGGATGAGCGCCGGGCGCAAGGCGAAAGAACTCCTGCAAGTTAAAACGGGAGAGAAAATCAGCAATCGCATTGGTCTTGCCCGGCACATGCGCTGCACAAACCCGAAAGTTAAAGTGCCTATATCACTTTTGGGTTTTTACGGATTTGAATAGAGCTTGAAAAATTAGTTTATAAGTTCTACAACCCTTTTTGATATAGTTAAATAGTTTCGGAAAGATTTACATATAAACATGACGATTTGCCTAAATTTCCGTCGTGCTCGGGGGCCTGGGACTCAGGAACCGAGTTCTTGTCAAACATAATATAATCAATAATATTTGTAATTTTACTTCGATCTTCCAATAACATAAAATTTTTGAGAAAAACTCGCCCAGTTGCTACAGCCATACACAACGCACCGTTCCCGCATTTTTTTCCTGAAAAGCGCAAACTATATCGCCAGTGAAACTCTTCATGTTTACATTATAAAGACGGCGTGTTTGCAAATCATTCATGGTCCCAGTCCCCCAACCGATATTTTCAAAACTATTTAATTCTATCAAAAAGGTTGTAGAACTTATAAACAAATTTTTCAAGCCCTGTTCGAATCCGTAAAGATCCCACAAGTGATATAGGCACTTTAATATGGCTAAATTGATCTATTGTATATACTGTATTTATACTTTTAATACAATACAGAATAGTTCATCTCATGCAGAAATATTTTTGTATTTGTAAATTTAAACCAGAAATATAGGCATTTTAAATTTTGCGGAGACCAGAAAAAGGGCACGAACCAAGTGCATGATGTTGTTATCTTTAGACGTGCCTAACTATAGTATGTGCACCACGCTCTGGTTATCACACCAGAATTTTATGCGCGTATTGGCCCATGCTGGCCCCCATATGTGACATGCAACGAGCTCTTTGTACGCCATGCCCAACGGTTGTTGTGCGGGTAGCTAGTGTTGGCAAAACCAAGCGCCATTATTGAATACCCCAAAGCCCTGCTTTCCCGACGCGTCGCTGGACAGTTCAAAATCGGGCAGGGGAGCCCAATCAGGGAGGTCAAAAAAATAAATGCCATTCCAGCAGGATGGTAGGAATTCCGACCACCATTTTAAGTCTAGTTGGCAATCTCGGGGTATGCGAATAGACCTCCAATAACGTTTGGAGTCTCGAAGTAGGTTGATGAGGCGGCGCAAAAATGTTCGGCCCGCCGGGACAACGTAGCAGGCATGATTGAGTTTGCCGATCAGAGATTATAGCTCTTTGCGCTTGCAATACGTTATTTCTGCCCACTGCCGAATAAGCGTGAGCAAATCAGACAGCTTGTCCGGAGGTAAGCGGGCTGTCATTCGTAGGGAATCGAGTTCGATTCCTAAGAAGACCAAACACGTCGTAGGACCCTCGATCTTGTCTGGGGCCAGGGGGATGCCCGTTGAATAGCTTGTAACGAGTTAGCACAGATGGGTGACGCCGAGGGGCCTAATGTAAAATAATCGTCCAGGTAATGCAAGAGATCACGAACTAGGTAATTAGTAATAAGAATCCACTCAAACAAGTCCGCCAAACTGGAAAAAAGGTAAGGGGCAGAGCGAAGCCTGGCGAGGTTCTCCGGGAGAAGATCGCCCATTTCGAGGAATTTGTTCTGAAGAATTTTTGTGACCAGCTTCGGAGGAATTGGCGCACGGCCGGGGCCCAAGCTAAAGGCTTTCTCAGGACCGAGGTGGGGAGTCATCGACATGTTAGTGGCATGGAGAGAAGAGAGAGTAGGGGGCACGCAATATAACATGTGGGATGACGCAGCGCACCTGGACAGGAACACCTAACTTCCGATCGAATCACGCGTGGTTTCCCGATCGCTATTAACTTTGGTTTGGTTATTGAATAACCTCATTTATCGGTTTGCCCAACCTTGGCGCGCCGCAACCCGATCCCAAAAAGAGCGCGAAAATAAAATAAACAAAAATGGCTCATTACTACTTTAGACTATTGTAGTTCACATTTACATATAATTGTATTGTGTATAATAATATTGTATATAATTGTATATAAATAATACTGTACCTTCATCCTTGTTGTATACGATATTCTTGACTAGTAAATCATTATGACTGTAACTAAGTGGCACATCAGCTTCACTAAGCAGGTCTTTGAGAAGTTTCAGTTCATCCACCACATTTATCTTATTGAGAATTTCCTTTTCATACCTGCAATAAAAGGTATTTAATTTTTGTCATTCATGTAGAATATGTTTGAATCAGAGCCACTAGGTATTCAGTAAAATACATATAAAAAACAACAGTATAAATCCAAAAATATATTTTCAAATTTCAGATTTATTTCTAGCATTTGAATGCGATGTAGTCAATCACCATGGACACCACCAGGTATATGTTTTTTGATATAGCAGGCTGGTTCTTATTATATAGTATTGTGATTTTCCATACATATGTAGATTGTTACTTTGTACATGCAATAAAGTATTATATTAGTATGATAATCAAAGAATGCAATATTTACAAATTACTAACCTATATTATGAATATAGTAATCATTTTGCTCAATATTGTTATTAAATAGCCTGCTATAGTTACAAAAAACATTCCAGATGATGACTAAACTTTAGTTGATCATCTAGTTGTTGAACTATGCATGTAAAATATAATATTGTGTTCAATACTAGAGTATATTTATAGGCTGAATTATACCAATTAGCCTTGCAGGCGTATGCATCCGTCAAATGATTTTAGATATTCCAGTCAGTAGCAGATAATTCTGATGACCAATTAGCTGCAAGATCCCCACTTCATTTGGGTAAAATAGGCACAAGATTGATAAATATGAGGACAATTAATTTAACCAGCCAAAATAGATTTAACTCTTAATTTATTCAATATAGCTGATAAATATTTATTCACATCAATATAATACTTAAAGCAGATAATAGTAAATTGTCTTTGCATTAATGATCGGAAGAAAGAATTGTTCGGATATACCGTTATTCCTAAAAGTTTTATTAAATCAAGGCCTTTGAATGGATAAAATAAAGACTATATGGAAATATATGAGTGAGTGACATACTACCTCAGCCTTCAGTTTCAAGCAGACGCACCCGTTCTTCAAATCATAACTGCCTAAAATTTCAGACTACAAAATGTAAAACATCTACTTACCAAAAATCCTTCGTAATAAGATCAAGTCGAGTCTGGAACGCTCTCTCAAGAGTCTTAAAAATTAGTTCAAAGATGACTCTAAAGAAATTTAAAACGGAATTATTAGATTATTACAAAGTAGCATTAGAGAAAAGTTATAATATTGACGATCCACGAACGTGGAAATCGATTTGCTTAAAATGCAATCAAGCACGAGACCTGACTAGACCGATAACATGTTGTTTTTAGTTTCAGTTGAGTAGTTTTCTTTGTACATACCGGTATATATGTTTAAAATTAGGGAGCGCAGTAATTGGTGTAAGCTGTTGCGTTTCCCTGCCAGTTGTTTGTGTCGTTTACTTATGTTAATTTGTTTGTACCTGGCAAAGTTAAATAATAATAATAAATATACTGATTTGCATCATGGCTTAAGTCAGCTTTTAAGTGAGAGTGTATTGGGAAAGTAGTTGAGCTGCTGTTGCAGATAGTTGCTGATATTTATGTATAGGCATGCAGTCTAAATTTGTGTGTTAACATTAACTTCAGAAGTGTTTCAAAAAGTTTTTCAACATAGTGGAACAGTGGAACTTATGATGGAGTAACAGCAATTAACAAAATCTTTGTCGTACAACTCTGGTATTTCATGGCCATAACCCCAATGTAAAATGTTACAAAATGCTTGAACATGGTGCTAGTGCAGGAAAAGTAACTAAAGAGATGTGTGTGAAAAGTGTTCAACACTCATCATACACAGGCAATGTAATTAAACCTTGTGTATTGTTATAGTGTATTATTATACAATTATATACCTTCTGTGCAAATACTGAAATTCATTGGTTAAGGGGCGTGTGGCACAATTTCATGAGCTTAAATTGTGTTTTAGTATACTTTCCCTTAACACAAGTTGATTACAGAAGGCGTATAATTAATCAGTAATAGAATCAATTAAGTCCTGCAATGGCAAATTAATATTAATGACATTATTAATATATACATTATTTACTTTTTACTAAAAAAGGTCCAGTAAGAGTACCACTACAGTAAAATTTATACATCAAATCGTCAATATTGTCCAAATCTCTTGATGAAGGCCCTCAGGTCGAAACGTCGAGAATGTTTTTCTATTTTAGGCAGTTGTTATACCACATTTAATATGCATATATATACATGTATGCGATTATTATACAATTAAGCTCACCTTTCCTGTTTCAAATCATCTTCGAATCTCTCAGGCAGAACACTAAGAAACTTCCCAATCATTTTAAAAACACAAGGTTCGCTAGTTTCAAAATCGCTTGGCAACTCTATCGCGTGAACGTGGCTAATTTCTTGGCAATCAGTTCACTGAAATGCTTGTCCGACATTTCCTCTGTTTCCAGTGTTCGACCAGGAATGAAGCCACAGCAATATCCGTTCTCAAAGGTGCCATACAATTTAGGAGCATATCCCTGCGAGTGTAGAAACTCCACATTTATTAGCTCTTGCTTTCTATCGATGAATAATTCTGTTTGATTTCCATATAGTCTGAACATTATAAGATCGCTCTCTGAACCATTTTGCAACATGCAGCCAAATAATTTGTTGCTAATGCCTTCGGTAAATTTCGTAAACTTTAGTTTCTTTCCAGACCATTCTGGCTTTATTTCATATAGTATTCTGAGGATCCTTGGTTCGCTGTTTTCAAATGGAATTGCAAATTCAAAGTGTCTTCTTTTACACATTGTTGTAATGGCGACGAAATTTCACTGGAATCATTGATACTGTATCAATATTGTTATAATCTTGATAAATGTATCAAATTACTTGGTTGTTCTGTCAGGTGTCAGCACTTGTAACGAAAATCAAATTAATAATCCAATTGTATTTACCGTGCAACATCAGACCTGCTGTAAGACGATACATATTTCTCCGGGCCTCTCGTTTCCATTGCTTGCTACCTGTCGGAAGGTATACTATGTCATGAAAGATCGAATTACATCACAGTTAATGATGAAGAATTTAAGATGACTGTTTGCCGGGCTGAAAATAGCCTGCATGCTAGGCTGATATCAGCCAAGGTTAACCTGGGTTATTTCAGTATTATATTTTGGCGCAAAATGTTGAAAACTATTCAGGAAACGGCTCCTCTACCCTTAATCATTTTAATCCTTTCCGGGTTTTATATTATTAATGAAATAATTACATTCATTCCTTTGCTTTTTCAGTCCGATTTGGGTGCGTGGAAGGTGCCCCCCCAATTATCGTCTCCCGTACACCACTGAAAATATTAGAGAGGTTAAAGATACCCCGGTTTCGATATACGGGTGCGCGGGGATACGCCATAATTGTTCATTGGAATTTCTTGTCAGTTTGCACGTTTCATGATACAAATCATGCTCACCTCAAGAGGCACCCGTTTCGCCAGAATTCTCCTAGTATATTGTCTAAAAGATTGGTTGCAGGCGGCAGTTTTATAGTAGGCAGGTTACTAACCCCGACCAATCCAGAGAATTGATTCTCTTGTACCAGTCCTAATGGTGCTGGCCGAGAAGATAACAATATGGCGAAAGCTCTAGGAGTGAGGAAAATTTCTCGCTTTAATTTGACCGTTGACTGATCGAGTAAATATAATTTTCTATATATTTTATAAAATTCCATGAATGATATACGTCTGAAGATAATTTAAGATCAAAATATGGGTCGCAAACGAAATATAAAGCGACGTTTACCGGCTATGGAAGTTGTATCGTTTGGTGGTAGTTCGTCGACTTCTCAATCGACCTCAAAAAGACGAGTTACGCTTACAACTCCATGTTTACTTGAGACGGATCATGGAAATGAGACTCCAGAGATAATTTTGCCATTGGAGGACACACTAGACGACCATGACGTTGGAAACGAAGCTGACGATGAAGAGGATGAGGATGAGGCTGATGATCACGATGCGCATGCTGACGAAAATATCAGTCAATATCGCAAAAAGAAACAGCGAGCAGCTAAGGGCTGGGAGAATGTCCGTGATGAAATATTACGGGCAGTAATTGAGTCTGAATGGTTACCAGAGGGTTGTTTATGTACAAACTGCAGAACAGCACCTGCAGTGTTTCGTTGTCTTGGCTGTGGAGCAGGTGTTTTTTACTGTGGTTCATGTGTGTCTGCTGTACATAATAATTACAATGTTTTTCATGTTGTCGAGGAATGGAAGGCAAGTTGACTTTCAGTATTTCATTTATTAAGAACTTTGGTGTTGAAGTTAATGTCTGTTGTTGTTATGTTGGGTCACAGTTCACAAAGGATTTTCTTTTTTGCTATTTTAATATCATCCAACATGGTGCAATTCTTATTGTAGTTTTAAATCCTCTGGGAATAGCTGCACACTGCCTATGTGAAGTGCACTGGGCCATTAATAACCCAAGAAATTGTCTTGCAATTCTCTAAAATGCTCTCCCACTGTCCTGGTCTCCAGTGTTTCTCACATGCTGACATGACATAGTTAATAAGGCAATTACTGGTTAACAGTAGCTATGGGGACAAAATTAATGATAGTACATAATATTTTGGCAAGAAACAGAACATATGCTACCCCAATGTTGTGGTGTATGTAATTATAGAACTATACAGTAAAAGGCCTATTGTATACTTGTGCACCATCCAACACTCAAATGCATTTTGTTAATTGAATGGTTTCTATAAATTTATCAGGATGGAATGTTTCTACCTATCACAATGGTTGGCACTGTGTTAAATCCTCGTCCTTTACACTCATGCCAAATGTTGGAGACAAAAAACATTACCGTAATAAGTGAACATGGTAAGGCAAATGTGCGAGCAAGAATACTGGTATTTGTTAACAGTATTTATGTTGTAGGATGTGAAGTTTGCTTATCAATTGTCACGCAATGCATGTCGACATTAGGCCCCCATAAGTTTGAATAACCAATAGGTCTACACCTTTGCCATTGTTTTGCCAGGAAAGAGTATTTGGTGTAACTAAGGTGTAACTAATTATATCTTTGTGTTAAATGTATTAAAATTATGTGGAGAACAATATACTATTTATTCAAATTGAAATCCAAGAACACCACATTTATATGCTACGTGGGCGCATGTAACTTGAGGCATGCATTCATGATACCTAATTGTATCAGGAATGACATTTGGTTATTATTTATTTTTTCTAAAAAAAGAGATGGGAGATTAGCTGTACACAGTTGCCACATGATTTTTATGACAGTCACATTCAGTATAACCCTAATTAAATATCAACAAAGCAAGTCTAGTAATTAGCAATATACTTAAATATTGTTATGTATGAAATCTTCTTTGGTAATCCTTAAGTATTAATACAAACAGAATGTGATAACAATGATTTATAATTGTTTTAGGATTAAGCTTACAAACTCCATATTTACTAAAACCTATTGTTATAAATGAAGTTTATCTGAATGTGCAGATGCATATCTAAAGTGGCTACACTGTGCTGATGAGCTCCAATTAGAGCGAAACAGTTTTTAACTTGTTGATCAATGCAAAATATGGCCTAATGGCTAGATAAGATAAGATAAGATAATGAACTATTCATTGGCAGCTATATAAATATGCAGTATTTTGTTTCACATATAAACATTATACACGTGATGTATAGTTGCCATTGTCCCTGTTTTTAATATATTGGTCTTGTTATAAAGGCTTATTTCTTAACACAATAGATGTCACAATAAGTATTTTTTGAAGGAACTCAACATCAGATTGGTGTAGTTGCATGCAAGTGTGAACCATTTTCTGTGACCCTCGCAAGATTGCGACTTTGGCCAACCAGCTCTAAACAACCATCATATGCATTGACCTTTGAGCTTCTGGATTGGATGGAGGCAATGTTGTTGGAGTGTCAAGTGTCTTTAAATGACTTTTGCAAGGCATTAAATCATAAACTACCTGCCTATGTTGTTGTAAGTGAAATAATTGCATATTGTGTACCAATGTAGACATCATGATCAATTTTATAATTAAGACACTATAGTTCGCAAAGTTCATTACGAACAGTTTGCTGGGTGCATGCATATCACAAAGATATTAACAATAGGGAATTATAACAAAATCTCGTTTATCTAGAGGAAGAACATATATGCCTTTATCATTGATTGTTTTGAAGAATACAGGTAAAAAACATACTGTACATGTGCATCTACATGCGGAATTACGGACGACTTTTTATATCTGCAGTCAAAGTCTGAGTCAGATTTGGTAGAAAAAGTCATCTGCATGGTTTCCTTTTTCTTTTCTAGCATGGATAAATTTTCGCTTTGTTTTTAGATATTTCAAACATAGATTACGTACCTTACAAAGTGTTTGCGAGGAAAGGGATTATGGCAATGTTTGTCCTGCATGTCCTTCCGTGAGTGTTAAAGTTTTTGAAGAACTTTTCAGTGTTTTACGCTACTGTCAAACTTGAACAACTAACCCTAACCTTCGACATAAATATAAAATATGCTTTATAATTATTTTAAGGATTGCAGTGATTTTAAAGCTGGTAATGTATTACGTTCGACTAGTCAATATAAGGCATTAGATGAAACAGCAGTGTTTGGCAGTGCTTGTAGACATGGTTTCCCGAAGCATTTTCTCAACCTAAAGCATGGGGAAAGGTTTGTGGAAAATATTACCATTATGCGGATTTATTATGCCAAATATTGTTTGCATGTCATGCAACGCCAACGGAACTTCATGTGACTACTGTAGACTCATTGTAATATATAAGATCACTTACTTACTGTGTGAACTTCCAACATTAATTAGTTCTATTGTCGCCCAATTCATTGTTCCAACTCTGGACATTTTTCTGTTTATCAATTACATGTTAAATAACTACTTTAGAATTGGATATGCAGTATGGCTTTTAAAAAATATTGCAAGTGAAAATGAAGGAAAGAACATTGAAATAAAATCATGTATGACATTGCTTGTTTACTTCAGAAGCACTTGAAGGTAAATCGTCTGAAACTATGCAACCATAGTTTATCTTAATACGGTAAGTTACGTATTGTTTTTTTTTACTAATGTATCGATTTAGGCATCAGCTGAAGATGATTTGCTTCAGAGAATAACACTGGCGGTACCTGCATTTCATATATATGGACACAAAGGTTCTTGTCAGGTACATCCATATATATGAACTCCTAATTCTGCGTCATGGCTTATTGGAGCGCTTCACTATATATAGAAACATTTATATAGTCGACAAAACACTCGACTCAATATTATATGCATCTACTGCATGAATAATGTGGAAGTATGTGTGCTTAATGTGTTCATTTAATATCGTCATTTTTATATAGCTTCAATTCAGTCCGAGGCGAGTCAGTGGTTTTGGTTTGACGGATGGAGAGCAACTAGAGCGTTTGTGGTCATATCTTCGCCGGTTTGGTAAAATGACGAAAGAAATGCGACCATCTCATAGAGTAGATGTGTTAAGTGATGCCATTCTTCATTATGCTCAACACTGCAAAGACACCCTGGGTAATCATAGATTTAATGAATGAACTTAGCGAATAACTTGTTGCATCGATGTTTTTCTCATTTACTACAAGCCAGCAGCTTCGATTCAGCACCATTAAAAGTAGATGCATATTATTATACAGTATCTTACACTTTTACAAACTTTTACAGTTCCAAAGTTGATTAAAGGGTAGGGCACAGGTTAGCTAGGGAAATGTTTGCTGTATGTTGAACTTCTTTTCTTCAAAAATGCCACTGCTGATGTTAGAAAGATGCATGCAAATTTAGTCAGAGATATATACTCACTGTTTGCTCCCTAAGTTTTGTAAAAATACTGGATATTTTCTTGCACTTTTGCTGTTCGGTGAGCTGTTCTGGATTGTTTTCTTCCTCTCTTGCCATATCAACATATTTTAATTTATCATCCTGGCTCAGCTCTTTAAACTTGATAGATGCCACCTTGTTAAAAGTTGTGATGCTCTCTTGTAAGTGGCTTTTACCTTCTACATGCAAAAATTGATAATTAATGTTAAATCATTAATGTTACACATTCTGTTCAGTTAAATTTATAAATATAACACAGTATATATATATATATATATATATATATAATTATATATATATATATAATATTATATATATATATATATATATATATATATATATATATATATATATATATATGTATATATATTTATTGCTAGAAACAACATATCTACAAACCATCTGTGGCTGCATATTCTTTTTGAAAAATATTCCAACCACTTATTGTGCGGTCCTTGCGGGGAATACTTCTTGCTGTGCTAATCATGGCGGTATTGACACTACCCGTAAGAAAATTGTAGACCTTTCGAAGACCTAAAAAGGTCTTGACTAGATCTTTAGAATTGTCTGTAAAAGGTCTTGAATAGGTCTAGATATCGATTACGGTAAATGTCTTGAAAAAGTCTCCGCTGTGATGTTAATTTGACAGGTGAAAAGACCTTTTCGAGACCTTTCTGTATTGGGAATATTTTCACGATAAGTATCTCGAAAGGTCTTGAAAGGTCTTGGAATGTCTTAAATCCTCTTGAAAGGTCTAGAAAGATCTACTAAGGCCTTGATAGGTCTATAAATGGTCTAGAAAGGTCTTTTTCGAACCTTGCAGGCTTATATGCATGCACGCGTATGCGCTTCAAAATGCATTAAATGTGTCCAGCATAAGTAATTTAAGAACACAAAGTTAGTTCAATGAATAATCTATTATTTAAAATCATAGGTACATAAAACGACTACAGTAATATCGAATAAAATAATATAATAAGTACAATGAGTATAGATACATTGATTAAAATAACACATCCCTCATATCCATGTCATATATTGCGTACCGCGACTTCCGCGGTAAACTAAAATTATAACAATTAAATCTAAATTGTTCATCCCTACTTGTTTGGCGTCGGTTTAACAAGCCTTTTCTTTAGTTTGGTTTGTGCGCACGTACATTTGTTCGTAAACATTTTGTTTAACTTTGAGCTTTCCAAAGGAGCCACGTTGAATATTTTGGCGGACGCTAATAAGTATCCTGTAATGAAAAATGGGTATATTTTTATTGAAAATGCAATACAGAATACAAATACAATACAAAACACCGCTATTTTATTAGACTATTCTAAAGATATGAGACTATTCCAAAAATATTTGCATTATAAAATGACTACCTTTAATTGCCGAAACGATTTTTGGATCCAGCACTTTTTTCCCCGTTGGAAGAACCCGATTCCCAAACGCAACAGACACGGCAAGCGTTTCCTCTGAGAAAAAGTGATCCATTAAAACATGAAACAACACCTTCAAATCTGACCCTGCTTTGTGATGGCATTCGCGAAGCTTGATCGTTGGAATAAAAACGCCAGACCCTGGACTGAGCTCTTGCTTCCCATTACCTCCCTCAAAATGCGAAACCGCTGGTGTTGTATCCACGACATCGGAAGAACTGTTTTTTGAATCCGTAGTCCTTACAGTTGGAGCCTAAATTTTTAACAAGCAAAATTAGAAGTGTAAAACTGGTGGGCAGTGCCAGATTTCCTCAAGAAAAACAAGAATAATTATCTTCTGAATTTGAAAAACGATTTACGTACCAATGACAGTGGCGGTGTCTCGAATTTCATCGTGTGGAAAAATCTCCATTACTTCGTCACTGGCACTGTAGATCACATCTGAGCTGGCTTTTCGAATTGATTTTGCTAGTGACTCGAGATATGCGGCGGTTCCAGGTGGGGCATTTAGCAAACCTATAAATAAAAGATTCATAATTACTCTCCGAACAAAACGCAAGAATGACATTTCCAAAACTAGTCTGAGCCATTTTCCAACTGTGCGGTTCAATTTTTTTTCTGAAATACCCCGCTGCAAGCCTACCTTTTAACTGAGTGACAGTCGCTTTCAGTTTTCATTCTCTTTTTTTAACTCGTCACAATTGCTGCATTCGAAAGGAACACCATCATCATGACCAAGACTTGCATCAAATGCACTTGTCCAATCGTCATCGCAATCATATGAAAGACGTATGGCACCGCTTATTTCCCGAGAAAGTGGCAAGGGTACTTCAGTCTCACTCTCTTTCACATTCAGTTCTCGGCGTGCTGTTTTGCTGGTTAACGGCGTGAGCTCCGAGTATTTCTTCGTGTTGTTTCGGTATGGTGTAGATGTGGACATGGTTGCCGTGGGATGGGAGAATGGACTGCTGATACAAGAACTTTCAGCTCGATCATTCGTTGGATTTGCAGTAGACCACTTCAAAGACTGTAGGTCATTTGAGGGGGAAGGGGTAGCGGCATGAGAGCTTGGTGGTAAAGGAGCTCTAATGGGCGTCTTTATAGCAGAGTTCAATGACTCCCTGTTGTCAATTGAACCGTTTTCATTTGTGCATGTTTGCTCATTGTCATTCTCCATTGCTTGAAACATTTCGCGCGCCATAAGTTTCGCACTTTCAATTTGCGCATTCTTCAAGCTGCTTTCTTTTTTCTTCACTGCCTTTTTTTCCTTCTTTTCTGGCACAGTTTTTGAAGATTTCCCCGCTTTTTCTTGATCGCTGATCTCTTCCAAGTCTAGCTCTTTCGCTTTAGCTGTCTTTGTTCGTTTTCTTTTTTTCCCCGCCACATTATTCGACTCTATTGCTCTTTTCTCAGCATAACTTTCACAGAGCAACTGAAGAGACTCTTCATTATCTAAATAATCGATAAGTATAACTACTTATAAATACAACGACAGATGCATACGTGAAGAATAATGTATAGAATATACTTGTATATATGTGTATGTATAATGCGGCGTTAAAGTGATTCGAATAAAAGTCGAAATACTAAATGTTCACTACCACTATGAAGTTGGATAAGGACCTGAAAAAACAAAAATGCTTTTACACTTTGAAATAGTAAGGTTAATGATTTTCAACAAAGTGCGTCAGAACATATAGCTATATTAAAAACAGGCGAGGCAATTATACCAATTTTGACGCCAGGATGTTTTTCAAGGCCTTGGCAGGAAACCAACTGTTTGCGATAAGGCGTGCATATGAATCTCGCCCTTGTAGCCATAGGCATATTTATTCTTTAGATATGCCGCGTAGCTTTCTTAACCATTAAACATACAGACAAATACAGGGCAATGTGAATAAAAATAAATTCTTAGCTGACCTAGCTGACTCAAAATAGTTTCTAGTATAATAACCATTAACATATGTCTTTATACAGTTTTATTCCAAATCGAGCAACACAAACCCCCAAAAGATAAATATTTTAAAATAAAAACTTTTAGTAAAAATATCATAGCCTTGATATCTATAATTTATATAACTGAAACGCGGGGGAAAGGATATGGTTAAGGGAGCCTTCTTAGTTTACCTTATACGACAGCCAGCTAGGCACTACAATCGTTCATGAAACCACTAAATAACTGGTTCGTCATTGATTGTCCCCGCATTCGGAATTTCTACATTTGCATGTTTGAGGATTTGAAATATAGACTTACCGGAGATTTGAATTACTTTTGCTTTATACCAGCTCGAGGTGACAAGAACCTTCTTCTTCATCACCCTCCACGCAACAAGTGAAATTGCGCCCAAAATAGGCTCTCCAGATATGTCTTCATACCTTACAACACTGTACTGTTCGTCTTCAATCCAAAATACTAAAGCAAATTTCCTTTCAGCCATATTAAAAAAGATCAGTGAATTGATTTAAAAACACGAGTTTTGTTTTAATCGTTTGCTCAGGCAGTCACGCTACTTTACTTCAGTCGAACGAAAATTTCAACTGCGCGCATCAAAAGGAGACTTGAATTCTACCGCTAACGTGATTGATCAGCCAATCAAAGCGAAGGATTACCAGCACACAGCTGGCAGATCTCCGATTTCAACCAAACCCTTATCAGATCGTGACATGACAGCTATTCTGTAATTGGTATCGAACTTTAATTGTTACTTGAGAGCTTTGAACGCAGGTTGTTTTTAAAAGTTGCAATACTTGGCAAAAATGTCCGATATGGAAGCGCAAGCTAAAAAAAGAAGAAAGACAAGAAACGAGATGGTTAATGAAATAATTATGGAATCGGTAGCTACAGAACAAAACGTCATATCGATTCAGAAGCATTTTGCTGAATCAGTTTTGTCGACGCCGCAGTCAAATCGACCTTTTTCTGAAATTGTACACTCATCCCACGACGCGGACGAAATCCATTCCCTTTCTAGCGAGTCCAGTGGTGAAGAGATTATACAGTGTACAAAAATGGAGCAAACTTTACAGTACATGAAAGAAGCTATAAACGAGGACAACTCCGTGACACCAATGGGATCATGTGAAGCTGAATCATTTTCTCGACTTGAGCCAAATTATGACATTGAAGATAGTAGCAGTTATCATTGTACTTCAAGGAATGATGTACTGTTATCGAACGAGAACGATGTGGATGAAGAAAATGACTGGGTTCTTGACTACTTAGACAAGATACAGGAGGCCCTTCAAGAAGAAATGGACAACATCACGAAAGACGTTAACGAAGAAGTAGATGATGAGGAAGTTTGGTACGACTCGTTGGACGAGATCAGCAACTTTCAAACACAACAAGGTACTGTGGACAACGATTATGAAGAAAATGCTGACTCCAAACCACTGTATGAAAATGCTCCGATCACAGTTGGGGTTAGTGCTTTACTAATTATGACATTTGCTATTAGGCATATGATATCTGGTAAGGCATTACACGACTTGCTAGTGCTAGTAAGTTTGCATTGTGGGTGCCAAACTATTGTTTCAAAACATTATATACATTCAAAAAGTACTTTCAAAATTTAAAGAGCCCGCTCAAATTCCATAACTACTGCTCTAAATGCAACGTATCTATCAGTAAAGAAATGCCACGTGTCCTAACAGCCTATGCCTTCAAGACTTGACCGTCCCAGGAAATATGAGCTTCTTCATAGAAATTTCTATCGAAGATCAAATACGATCATTGTTTGCGAAAACAGGGATTTGGAACTTACTTAACTATCGCTTCTCGCGAGTTAAAAGAGGAATAAATAATATTGAAGATATCTACGATGGGAAACAATATCGAAGATTTTTCGGGAACGGCGGAATACTTGACGATCAAAGGAACATTTCGTTAACTTGGAATACGGATGGAATACCAGTATTTAAATCTTCAAAAGTTGCAATATGGCCTCTATACTTTGTGGTCAACGAACTACCTTACGCGCAAAGAATTTCGAGAAGTAACATGATCGTCGCTGGTTTATGGTTTGGCAGCAGCAAGCCAAATATGCTAACATACTTAAAACCCTTCCACTCCAGTTTGAAAAAATTAGAAACTAATGGAATTCGAGTTGAAAATCCAGAACAAGGATCTTTTGTAAGCCGAGCGATTTTGTTAGCTGGAACATGCGACCTCCCAGCTAAATGTATGGTATGCAACTCAATCCAATTTAATGGTCAATATGGCTGCCTAAAATGCAAGCAAGCGGGGGAAACATTTCGAACTGAAAAGGGAGGGATAGTACATAGCTACCCATTCAAGCAAGATAATCCGAAAGGCCCAGAGCGGACTCATGAAGAAACTCTAGAGCATGCCAAACAAGCAGTTACAGATGGCAAGCCATGCAATGGTATTAAAGGTCCATCATGGCTCGCAGGCCTGAAACACTATGACATTATTAAAGGAACTGGCATAGACTATATGCACGCAGTACTTTTAGGTGTTATGAAATTGCTTTTAAATTTGTGGTTTGGAACGAATCGCAATTTCCCCTTCAGCATATCTCATAAGATAAATCAAGTTGATAAGCGTCTTCTTTCAATTAGGCCACCAGATTGTATATCACGATGCCCACGTTCAATAGAAGCTCATAGAAAGTATTTTAAGGCTTCGGAATTGCGTTCTTTTCTATTGTTTTACGGACCAGCTATACTTCTAACTATTTTACCAACCGAATACTATGATCATTTTCTTCTTCTAAGCGAAGCGATATACGTTTTGTTACAGCAATCTATTACAGTTGATGAGATAGCGCATGCTGAGCGGCTTTTATTCCATTTTTGTGTTATGTTTGAGACATTGTACGGTAAAAGATATCAAACAGCAAATATTCACTGCCTTGTTCACTTGGCAGATAACGTGAGGGAATTAGGACCGTTGTGGACTCACTCCTGTTTCCATTTCGAAGACAAAAACGGTTTTCTCTTAAAAACTATTCACGGTACCCAGCAGATTCATTTTCAGTTGATATCGGCAATTTCTATTTCTAAGCGTATACCAGAACTCGAGAAAGATTTTCTTTTGGATGGGACTCATGAATGCGAATTTTACCACAAACTCACGGGAAAAGTTAAATTAGCTAAAAATGAAGTACAACTTTCAACAGAGTGCTTCGCAATCGGTGGAGCAAGTTGGCGTCAGCTTTCACCGGTCGAATTTGATATGTTTTCAAAAACATTCGGTTCTGTCCCGCCAAATATGAAAGTGCAAACGTTTTCCCGTATTAGAAAAGCGAAGTGTATTTATCACTCAAAAATGTATAAACGTGTTCAAAGCAGAAATAGTTATACAATTAGGTTTGCGGATCAGGACAATGAGAGCGGTTACGGACTTATCGAATATTTTGCTCAGTTTAAGCCGGTGTGTTTGTGTGTTGAAGTAGAATGTAAATGTCCTAATTTCAATTTCGCCGTCGTTTCTACTCTTTCAAAAATCAACATGAGCCTTATTGATGACGATATTACACATGCCACAGTTCCAAACATTATTGTAGTTGCACCAACGGAAACTAATAAAATTCAAATTATTGACATTGCAAAAATACAAAATAAGTGCACATACATGGAGTTTTGTGACTCCCCGCATCACGTATTTCTTGCACAGTTTCCTAACTCAGTCGAGACAGATTAGAATTTAATAGTATTTTATCACTATATTGTACAATATTCATTAAACTATTGGTATAAATAAATGTAAATAAATGTGTAAATAAATTATAGGCTTTTAGCTGTCGTTTAATTATTTTCAAAAATGAAACATATCGTATGAAACAGATCACTGCTTACATTCACAAATTTGCTTTATACATAGCTTTTAATTATAAGATAGGTTTGGCCATATGGTTTGGCTCATTGCTAATAGCTGCTATTAAATTTAACACTTACATCACTCATCACATAGCATGAGAGGTTACTCACAACCTCACAACGCCTACGCATTTCATTGTACGCAAGTTGTTAAATTATACCGCGGACAAGAAAAACTAAGGAAGCATCAATATAAACCGAGATTTTCTAAACTGTTAAACTTACGCCTTTTATATAATGGAATATTCCTTCGAATGAAAATACGGTAAGGCTATGCATGATTTACTCTAAAGTCTAAATATTATATCTGTCTTGATATGACGATCGAGTGTGCATGCGGCTGTGCGCGCATATTATTTAACTTGAAATGATGATAAACCGCATCTATATTCATCATACGTGTTGTATAATACGATAAGATAATTACCTGAAAAGTAGCGATATTTGACTATAGTTCCTCTTACGCATGTAATCAATGAAAATTATACATGTGCGTGTAAAAAATAGCGTATATAAAATCAAATATAGGTCAGCTAGACCTTTCAGCTAGCGCAGTATATGAAAATTGTCTAGTAGACATACTGTAGACCTTTCAAGACCTTTTCTCAAGACAATCTAATAACATTCACAGCGTAAAGGTCTTGCAAGACTTTTGGTAGACTTTTAGTCGCAAGTCGTTGTCTAGGAAAGGTCTATGAAAGCTCTTCAAGACCTTTCATAGACTTTTTAAGATCTAAATAGACCTTTCGTTTTCCTACGGGTAACTGTGTTTGCTGCTGGTTCTCTGCTGGTTGCATTAACCTTCCTTTTATGCACCTGCTTTGTTATCCAGTTCTGTGACAAATGAGAATTAATATATATGTTGTATATAAATATTATAATATTTTAATGATGAAACAATTAAATACAACTGTATTATTTTAAAACAGGCTAGTACTCTACAAATTATGTATGGGAAACATTACTTTCTTATGATATATAACTTCATCTTTACCACACTTAATTAAGTAGCTATTCATCCTGTTAAATAAGTCTAGTGTTTAATATTAGTACATTTATGCAAATACAATGTAGCCTGTCATGAATAAAAAATTAATTATTCATAAGTGCAATAATATAAATGATATTATAATGCTTTTTTATTTTACAAATAGAAATATGCACTGAACATGGTTGACTGACCTTTACTTGCTTTTCACTTAAACCAGTCTCGGCAGAAGTGGCAGAAATTTGGCTAAAGAAATTCCTTCCCACACCAACCATACCATTGTTGAAATAAGCAAGCAAAGTTGCCTTTTGGTTTTCAGTAAAAGACATTATTGAGAACGATCGAGTAAGACTGAGTTAAATCTTTTTATAATTGGTTATCAGATAGGTACTTTTTGAAGTACTTTAATCGCAATTTAGCCACGCGCGTTTTAAAGCTCGCACAAATTCAAGAGAACGGGGGCGAAGAGAATTTATTCATCGATAAAAATATTACAAATTGTTGCAAAAATGATAAAAATCGTAATAGTTATACGATGCTATCGCAGACATATATTGAACAGGGGGATAAAGCACAGTAATAATTTAAAGGGTAATGTTTGTGTACAACCTAATGATCTCTAAATTTTATTGAAAAGTTTTAAAAATGTATTTAAAATATCAATGAACGCACGTGTTACTAAGAATGAATCAATGTTTACATGTGCATTAAAATGTTATGACGCATATGACGCACTTCCTATAAGCAGCCATGTTTCGTAGGCAGATTGGTCGGGGTTAGTAACCTGCCTACTATAAAGACTGCCGCCTGCAACCAATCTTTTAGACAATAAACTAGGAGAATTCTGGCGAACCGCCTGCAAGAGGCTAAAGTCTTCTGGAAAAGAATTGTCGAGTTAATCTTCGAAAAATTTGAGAAACCCTGATGGAAACTTTCATTGAACAAAATAAGGCTATCCGTACCCCTATACACCAAAACCGGGATATCTAGAAGCATTGCATTGATCAAAGCAGTGCACAACCGCCGGTATAGATAAATAAAAATGGGCGCCTTGGTATAGTAAGTAAAAATTACAGCCGCTGAAACTAGGTGGCATATAGTAATGACATATTGGCGGGGTTTTTGTACCCGCTATTGTTTGTGCGCGTGAGCGAAAATTGAGCAATGGTTATGCGCATGCACGGCAAGTGCCTGGAATGTTCAAAATGGCTTGAATTTCTTGGTAAACGTCTGCTTAACCATTTTCAATAATCGAAGCTTCCCTCCGGCGCTATATTATGAACCAGGCATATATGATTTCCTGAGCTCACAATTGCCGGGTGTAATTCCTAATCTCCGGGCGGAATAATTGGTACGCTCGCCGTCTCTGATACGTAATGATGCGATATAGTGTTATGGTTAGGGCTTTTTTAAAGGGTGTCTAAAAGCTGGAGTGGAACATAGCAAGATATAAGGCAAAAGGTATGATATATATATATATATATATATAGATAACAAGAAAGACAAACTGGTTTATTCCATTAAAACTTTATTACTACAAATTTGTTTCGTATGGCAAGCAAAGCTTACCACACTCGTCATATACCTACATGATTTCGAACTCGATATTTGTTATCTTCATACTGATTTATATATATAGATAAATATTAGTTACATGCCGTAAAGATAGATAGTGCGGTACTTCAGTGGTGAAGTATTTGTCATCCTTGTATATAACTCCCATACGTTTCACAATTGCCACAGCGGAAGGGGCGATTTGAAATTAATTCAATAGCGACTGCGTATATAGTTTATGGTCGTATATAGCTCCATATATTATCGTGATCGAACGCTATATATATATTCTCTGTTTCATCTACCTCGCCTTATTTCGTACATGATTAGAAAATGAAAGTAGTGAGCCCTGACTAAAGGCTATTAAAACCTCGATCAGTGTTCTTCCTTTCGAATATAATTGGAATTTCGATATTCCATATTTGATGTGACCTCAGTTGTAAAAGTATTTGACCATATTTTTGAATGATGGCGACAGATTCATTCAATTTAAACTGAGTGAAACCTTTAAACGACTTATCTAGAATTGTTGCTATAATTATAAGCGGCTGGTACATTTCACTATATATATAAGAGTATTTCTCGACTTTAGTGAGACATGACATTTAGTCATGTTTACAATATGCATTACAGTTCTACTTGTATAACTTCCTCCACAGTTTACAAAAGCATTAAAGAAATAGTATTTGAAAGTTAATGGTTTAAACGTCAGCCTTTCAAAGCCAGAATAAGAATTAATCTGTCAAATGTTGAAGCACAGCGGCCATAGACATAGTATAAGCCAGTATAGGACATATTTTATGTAAGGTAATGGCTAGGAACCAACTAATGATTGTTACGGATTTGTGATTCAGATTAATAGATAAATATGTTTTATTGTCTTCAGCAAATTGCATCGTGCTATACGTAGAAACAACATAGTGTATGGTTTTGTCAATGTTTCTTCCGTTTTGACAGCGGTATATACTTCAAGACAGATACAGAACTATCGAGGAGTTGATTATCTATAGAGCGGGCAATTTCAGTATTTACTGATATATGTACTATAACAGCTTGATATCAAATTGCTAGATTTTCATAAAGTTACATATACCGAAATCTGAATCAGTGCTGTGTCGTATTATTCATCATCTACATTATAATAATATCCTCGGTATTTCTTAGCTTTACCTTGTCGATTTACTTTGTTTCAGAGAGCATTTGAATAAATATTTTAAGGGCATTCTCAATTCTCAAGTCAGTTTAACAAAGAACTTTGAAGCTAGGCAATGACAGATCTTTGAACGGATCACGATTTTCGGTTGCTTGTCGACACGAAGTGGTTAAATTAAATTAATAAACAAAATTACCATCAATCACTACAAGTTGTCCCAAAAACTCTCAAACTATTGAAATCATCCACAAAGATGTAATGCATATGGTTAGAGTTTCAATGCCTAAGCACCATGCTGGGACTCAAAAGTGCATGACTGTGTAAATTTTTGACATGAGCATTTTTATGGATGCATGCAACGACAGCAAAATTTGTTTCTACCCGAAAATGATTTTTTTTACTAATATTTACAAATATGGATAGCAGTATTTAAATAAGCCTTCAGGTGTCAGTAAATTGTTAGATCGAACAGAGCGAGGACGCTAAACAAACTTTACTAAATTCTATTCTATTCAAGTTGGTGTGCGCTAACCAAATTTATTCTGCTGTATTGCAAGATCAGGTGTTATTCATGCATGTATGAATTCATGATTATGTAATTTGCGCGCATTCTATAATCTGTGTGATCCCTTTCTAAATTGTGTACTTCGAACCCGTAACTCATAACCCATTAGCTAATTGATATCGCATACCCGCAACCATACCATGTTACGGCTATAAAATGGCACATAAAAACATACCACAATCTAATTACCGAACCTCAATTCCTATCGAGAATCAACCATTGCATCAGCATTGTATCATTTCACTGGTATTAAAGTTACTGTTTATGTGTGATCTGCGTACGGAGTTCGTTATTGCTGTGCATCATACTTGAATCGACTCTTGGACTTTGCACCCGTTAATAATCGAACATGACCAGCGATAAACACAGTTGATTCAATTAATTACATATTTTTTGTAGAATAATTATATTCCCGCACAAAAAAAATTTATTTAGGTTTTGCTTGTTCCATGCATGCGCACAATGCACATTGTTTGCGAGTGTCCAATAATCCTCAAGCTGTTTTAGCCTATTGTAATTTACCCTGCGAAGCTGTTACGCTCCTTAAATTAAATTATACATACAAAAACTAATTTTTATTATTTTTCGTGATTTCCGCCTTTACCCATACCTGAGACTTCACTTGGGCTTTTAGGTAATTTGATTAACAATCGTTTAAGAATTAAAATGCTGCTTAATTGAATAAGAAATGCGTATTATTCTTTTTGTGGACCAAAGATGGCATAGAGAGGGCCAACAATGATTGGATGTTTCAAAAAATTGAGAGAAAATGAGATGAGGTTTTATATGTCGAACGAAAAGTTGGAAACGTTTTGTGAATCCAGTTTGTATGCAATTAAATTAAAATCTGCGTGCATGACCAAGGGCTACTCTTGTAAAGGAAAATGGAAAGAAAGTAGAAGTAAAAACCAGTGGACCGTCCTTAATCAATGGTGGAGTAGAGTTGAAGGTAGGACATAACACAAATTGACACTTTTCTAATCTTTTGTATGACCTCTTCTGCGTTTCAAAACAGATTACACTTTTGTTGGATAGAGTGAACCAGTTTTGTTAACATTACTGATTCAAACCATTGATTAAGCACGGTCCACTGGTTATTGTGGGTAGCCTGTTCGCGGGCTAACCACTATGCTACACGCAAAAAACGATGAGGGATGATGCATGTTTGTCCGCCGAGTTTGTTTATCTACGAAAGAGACTGGGCAGAGCCGAAATTTTGTCAGCCTGATCGGTGTAAACTGGCCTAAACTTTCAGATAAATTAATCGCAGAAATGGTATTTCATTGGTATTTCATTGATTGTTTTTATGTCTACTTTGTTATAACTGTATCCAACTAGCAAACTAGCCCATCTTTGCGCATGGATTAGAACGTAAAACTACGCATCATGCAGTTGATTTCCCCGCCATTATTGCGGCCTGTCATTTGACATTGAACAAAACTTGAAAATCTTTGCCAATGCTTTGGAGGCTACCCACATGTATGCATTGCATACCTATTTTTACTTTTGCTTTCTTTCCATTTTCTTTGTAGGAGTAGCCCTTGGTCTCGCAGATTTTCATTAAATTAAATACAAACCTGATTCATAAAACGTTTCCAACTTTTCGTTCGACACATATAACCTCATCTCAATGGACCTTTTGCATAATAGACCAACTTTTGTTTTAGGCAACAAAAGGAAATTTCTGAAAAGTGCATTCTAATTTTAGTAAAATTACCAAGTTTGGATGCACAATATTGTAAAGGGGGAAAATATAACCATGCGAAGTTGGCAATTTTGTATATTTTTTACTACGGCCTGAAGTGTGTAACTAAATTAGTTAAACGCTTCCGGCAGTAGTAAAAAAGTATACAAAATTGACAAATTCGCATGGCTAAATATTTTCCGTAATACCTGACATTTTGCGCCAAACGCGGCGATTAAACTAATTTTGGTATGCTCCTTTTAGCAGTGGTGATTTATTTCCTTCTTGTTGCCAGATCGTAAGTTGGTTTATCATTCCATTTCCCGCAATATTTCGAGACATCCCAACATTGTTGGCCCTCTTTTGCTATCTTTGGTCCGCATCTCTTATTCAACTAAAATACCACGAGAATTAACGGAAATCTATATAGGATGCATTACTATTATAAAATGCGCAAGTTCATATCAACTCACACGATATCGTTATTGTAAATTATCGTAATATAAGAAAAATTGTCGACTAGACTCAGACTTTTGGTCACCACTTTATGTATCAGTAATATGCTTAATTACAGGTCTTGATACAAACAAAGAAGTAGCTAAGAAAATCAAGTTCAAGATTGGGTTGTTGCAAACACCAAGAAATATCACAGGATGGCAGATCTGCTACCAATTGTTGCTAATGCTGAAAGCAAAACTACTGAAGTCACTGAAAGGTGGACAGTTTTGAATTCTGCTGTGAAACGAGGTGAACTTGACACTTAAAATCTCTAGTGGAAAATGGCGCTGACGTAAATAGCAGGACTGCTGGGAAACGGACAATTCTTCACTCTGCTGCCGAAGGAAGTGAACCTAACATTGTGAAATACCTTGTCGAACATGGTGCTGATGTGAATGGCATGACTATTGATGGTAAAACTGCTCTGCACTCTGCTGCTGAAGGATGTAAACTTGAAATTGTAAATATTTGGTCAACATGGTGCTGATGTGAATGGCGTGACCATCGACGGCAAGACAGTCTACACTCTGCTGCTGAAGTAGGTGAACCGGAGACTGTTAAATATTTAGTGCAACGTGGTGCTGCGGTAAATACAGAGACTCGTAAAAGGTGGTCAGTACTGCACTCTGCTGCTAGCAGTTGTGGACTTGACGTTGTAAAATTTAGTCGAACAAGGTGCAAACGTGACAGGCCGGAGTACTTTTGGGTGGACAGTTCTGCACTCGGCTGTTAATTTGAATGTTGATCCTGATGTTGTGAAATATTTAATCGAACGTGGTGCAAATGTACATGAGGAGAATTCTGAGGGGATGACTGCTTTGCACTTTGCTGCCGAAAAAGATGAACCTAAGATTGTAAAATTTTGGTCGAACGTGGAGCATATGTAAATAGTGTGATGGTGACGGGATGACATTCTACATGTTGCTGCTGAAAAGGTAGATTTGACAATATAAGATATTTAGTAGAACATGGAGCTGATGTTAATGCAAGACTACTGATGGACGGACTGTTCTGAACACAGCTGCTGAAAAAGGCGACTTGACATTGTAAATATTTAATTGAACATGGTTCTGATGTAAAAAGCAAGACTAGTGAGGGTTGGACCGTTTTGCACACTGCTGCTAAGAAAGGTGAAATTGGCATTTTAAAATATTTCGTGGAACACGGAGCTGATGTGAATGCATGACGTCTGAGGGTTGGACAGTTCTTCACGCTGCTGTTGATGGAGCTGAACCAGATATTGTAAAATATTTAGTTGAACAGGTGCTGATGTGAATGGCGTGTCTGCTCGCGGTAAAACATTCTTTACTTTGCTGTTGAAAGGGTGGACCTGATATTGTAAAATATTTAGTCGAACATGGTGCTAACGTGAATGGCATAGCTACTAAAGGAAGACAGTTTTGCACTTTGCTGTCGCAAGGGTGAAACTGAAATTGTAAAATATTTAGTGCAGCATGGTGCTGATGTGAATGGCATGGCTACTGACAAAAGGACAGTGCTGCACTCTGCTGCGGAAGTAGGTACACCTTGAGGCTGTGAAATATTTGGTAGAACACGGGGCTGATGTTAATCGCACGAGTATTGATGGGACGACAATTCTGCATTCAGCTGCTAAAGAGGCGTACTAATCATCGTAAATACCTAGTGAACATGGCGCTGATGTAAGGAAGAAAAAAACCCTGAAGGACAGACAGTTCTGCGTTTTGCTGCTGAAAAAGGTGAACTTGACATGGTGAAATATTTAGTTGAAAATGGTGCTGATGTGAATGGCAAAGATAATGACGGGTGGACAGCCCTACACTCTGGTAGTGAAAGAGGTAAGCTGGACATCGTAAACTATTTGGTCGAAAAAGGGGCTGGTGTAAATGACCGAACTACTAACGGGTGGTCAGTTCTGCACTCTGCTGTTGATGGAGGCGCACTTGACATTGTGAAACACTTAATCGAACGTAGTGCTGATGTCAACAGCAATACGTGTGATAAAAGGGCAGCTTTACATATCGCTGTTGAAAAAGGTGAACTTGAACTTGTAAAATATTTCTCGAACATGGTGCTGATTTAGACGCTAGGAATATTCATGGGCAGACAGTTTTGCACACTGCTATTGCAAGTAGCGTACTTGTCACTCTAAAGCGTTTAACGTAACAGTTCAAAATTTATTCTCTAAAAAAAGCTGAGTGACGAACCTTGAAATGGCTAACAATTCAGTCAACTTAGTTGAAATTTTATTAAAAAAGAAAATCCCTGTGAGGAATCCCAGAACATTTCTTGTTGAAGGAACTCTAATTAGTCTTTTACAGTGGAGTATTCTTTTTGGTCGCAATGAAATGACCAAACTTCTGAAAATGTCCGTAAAACATCACGAAAAATTGCAGGCGTTGAAAACAAGGAATTGCAACCAGCTGGAAACAGTAAGAGGCGATAGCAGTGATTCTGTTAATACCTAATAATTAGCTTTCATCAAAAGCAACAGATAGATTACTTTGTTGCCAACGGCGTAGCCAGAACGATAATTGGGGGGTCCATATTCATATATTCGTGATACGCAGGGTTAATTTCTTTTCAAATCAATTGTCTTTACAGTCTGTTTACATGAATATATGAATATGGACCCCCCCCCAATTATCGATGCTGGCTACGCCAGTGTTTGTTGCCTTGTCCGAACCGGGTAATATAAAACATGTTCTCTCATTAAATTCCATTTCAGGCGCCATTCGTCACCACTGTTTGCCAAACATACGAGTTATTACCTTAGATATTGTCTCTCTTCATATATATGTTTTGTTTTATAGCCGATCTCTTTGCCTTGGCGAAGATTTTGCCATTTTAGCGCTTATCGTTACAAAAGGCGTAAACAACTGGCAAAAGCATCTCTCTCAACAAAGTCGCAAAATTCCGGTCTAGTTCAAAAATTAAACTTCCATTCACATACCAACAATGGAACATAAAATTTATGGAACATAAAATTTTGGAAAAATCGTATTTTGTTTGTATTGCCCATAGATCATTGCGTATTTTATGTGGAGAACTTCTTTCTTTCCTTTGCTCAAAATAAAACTATATTCATCTATTGTTTTTCAGAGTGCAGTACCGATACGGGCATTTGTTGCGGATAAGGTATTTAAAATTGGCGACGGTTCCTGTGGTTCATGCGTTTATGTCGGTCTTATGGCTGATGAAAGCGAAGTCGCTGTTAAGCGAATGCCAGTGCAGAGGTGCGAAAGAACCGCTGAAAACGAAAAGGAAATCCTGAGTCTCCTTGAAACAGAAAAATCTCCATTTGTAGTAAGCTATCGAGGTTTTTACAACGACGGAAACTTCATGTATCTCGTTATTGACCTCTGTAAGAAAGCTTGGAAAAGCTTGTTGATTCTTCCAGTATTGAACATCTTCAACAACATGGGCAACGAATGATTAAGGAAATTCTATCCGGCCTTGAATTTCTCCATGCAAAAGGATTCTGCATAGAGATCTTAAACCATCAAACGTCTTGGTTGATATCGAAGGATGCATGAAATTGGCGGACTTTGGAATAAGCCGCGTTTTAAAGGAGGAAGAATCAGGTGTTGAAACAGGTGCGAATGGTTCTATCGGCTGGGTCCCTCCAGAAGTAATTGAAGCGAGAAGAAGAGAAGAAAAAGGTCCCTTCAAAAAACAGTCGGATGTCTATGTAGCGGGTATGATTTTCTTCTTCATCTTAACTAAAGGTCAACATCCTTTTGGCGGTACAGATGATCGAATGAGAAATATTGCGAGGGAGAAACCTGTGAATTTGAAGAAACTTAGTGAGCGCAAGGCTCGGAAGTTTGTCTCCTGGCTAATCAAGCATAAGATTGATGAAAGACCTTATGCCACCGATGCTTTAAATGGTCCTTATTTGAGTGAGATTTTTTCGCCTGGTATGAGCTAGAATGTAATGCGATTACTCATGACGACGATGACGTTGCCCAAATTTACGTCTTAGTCAAAACGTTTTCTTAATATCTTGCGTAAAATAGAGTTCGTGGCGACGATATGCGACAGCAAGAAACGATTCTAATTCATTATCGTTGTATTCGACGACTGTCATTCGCCATTAGAATTTTTCAGATTAATTTAAACTTTGAACGGACCCGAAAATAATAAATTTCGGTTTTATCCGTAAAAACGAAAAAACGTTGCCCTTCACTATTCTAGCTCGGGAAACGTTTTACGTCTCCCGAAAGAGTTCATGTCTATAGCTATGTATCTGTAGCTATGTAAAAATAATTCATAGTTGTTTGGTTGGTACAATTTATATTATTCACTGTTCACTACGTCTGATATCTATATAAATTAATAGCGAAAATCATTCTTCCGCAAACTTTTGCAATTAAGCTACTGTACTCAACAAAGGAAATATTGGTATAAAATAAAGAATTTATTGCTTCCTGCACTTGAGACTTAAAGTAGATTAAATATTTTAGTTTGACGCATGAGTAATGTCCCTGGAGAGCGGAGATGAGGGTCTGCATATATCAAGAGCAGAATGTGCTCTTAATCCATTCTGTTCTTCGCTTCGACAAGGTCACTACAGATCGAATTCGACCCGCGAATTTGACCCGCCCTCCTTCCCGTTTTCTCACGCGAGCTTAATGTCATTGCATACTAGTATATTCGGTTGGGCGTTTAAATTAGCCCACCCTGTCTGTGCGAACTACTTAGTAATTGAATTTATTGTTTGTTGATTAATGATTAATTTGTTGTTAATTAGAAATTAATAAATCGGCATGTGCGTTATACAATTGCGCACATTGCCAAAATTATTTCAACTCTGTGAGTGGTTTTTTGTACGAGATCTAGAGCGCAGAAAACAGAGCTCGTCGTGACAAAGTACCTTTTAGATATGAAGCTAATGAAAGGGACCGATAAAAGAAATTAAAGAATGTTATCCAGCTACTTGGTTTCACGGGATAGTTTCTAATTCTGAATCTTTCTATTTTTCTTCATTCTGCGGTTTTGTTTCTGCGCGATAAATTTCGGAACAATTATCTTTTTCGCGGGTGGAGCACTGGAGGGATTTCAGTAATTTTGTACTTTCGTTCCAAACATGAGAAGAATAGTTTCTTTGGCCAAACAGTTTTTCCGCAAATTTAACTTGTAACTTACTGTTTTCGCTGCGTTGAAGGTTTCACTTGAAGTAGTCTAAAAAGTTTCAAAAACGAGTAATTATCTTCCACGTATTGTCTTATGTGACCATTTAATATGATAAGGGGTGATTGGCAAATTTCCATCAACAACTAAATAAAGAGTTCTGTTCCCTCCGAAAAATCTATGACCACCCGCTTGTTAGATATTCGAGAAAAATAATAACACCTCCCTCTACACACACATACACCTACAGCGCCATTGATGTAAAATAATGGGATCCAATTTCAGCGTAGTTCCTGAATGCTATACACTCTGTTTTGAACAGTGGTGGCAAAAATAGAATGTAAGAACTATAGTTAATTAATAGCAAAGCACTGCATTTTGTGTTCATGCTCCTTTTGGATATAAATTTGTTGCTTTTTACGGTCCCTTGCATGATTGCATTAATCGTAACATGTAAAATTTCATGTACTAAAACTCTAGACTCTTTTCTGAATCAACAATTTTAGGTAGTCCCATTTTCACAGTTGAAACCCTCATGACCAACACCTTTTTTACGTCCACGTCCGATTAAAAAATCAATGGTCAATAAAATTCATAGTAAATTGTTACAAAACAAAAATCTAGAGATCCTATTAACGAGGTTCCTTATTTCCGTTATGAATAACCACTTTTGATTGTATGTCATTGATATCGCACTCAAGTACGTTTTCGCCGAGCCGGTGCAGAGAGCCGTGCAAAGCCGTGCAATACATATACACGCAAACAAATTCAATTGGCGTATTATTAAAATAACACGAATAAAAACGCATGCAAATTGAAGACAAGCACACAAATTAAAATAATGCACCAACAAACGCTGAAGACAGTGGAATAGGATATGGATACACTCTTTCTTTACAGTAGCCATACAATAAAATCTTGGCCATAGCTTTCCACTGATGCCTTTAATAATCGTGACGGATTACTGGGACCTTGGTAGATACTTCGACGGTTAGAGACTGATAGAAAGGTGCCAAAACTCAGTTAGAACTTCCCGAACGATACCCCTTCCCTCACCTTCCTGTATAACACCGCGCGCATCAACAACTTTGAAAAATTTAAAACTTCTAATATGGTTGGATCCGAATGACGCTGTTATCATGTCCTTTAGTAAGGTGGAGCGGTCAATCACTAGATCTAACCTATCGAATTGGTCTTCAGGCATAGGCTTTTGGGCTGATTGCACAATATATACTGCCTCTGGTTCTGTTTCAATTAACAGTGGTTCAGTAACACCTGAAACATAATCATCATGCAATTCTTTTATGTAAATAAAAAGAGAAGAAAAAGTCGGATGTATACATACTTTTTTTCTTCATCTTCAGATTATTCATGATCAATTTGGGCAAACCGAATCGGGAATGCATCAGTCTGAAATAGGTCATCTCCCTTTGGGTTAGCTTCAAGAGTTACTTCCTTTGAATTAGCTAAGGTATGCTCAGCTTGAACCACATTAATGTTGAAAAGACTAACTTGAAAAGGATAATTTCGGACTTGACTGGCTAGAAAAGGATCTGTTTCAAAAGGGTCTGCTTGAACAGGGCTAGCTTGCACAGTATTGTCTTGTACAAGTATTTCTGCATCATCATCAAATTATTTGCAACTAAATTTGAAAGAAAGAAACAGGAATGGTCCCAAAGTAACTGAGAATTGTCTGAATCAGTATGTATGGAATTATACCTTGTATAAATTTACTCTACTGTATCGTCGCCCAAGTTCTTCTTTACATTTTTCCAGAGTGAAACCACAGACTTTGACTCATCAAGATCTCGAAGATGCTTATTGTGGGCAAGCTGCTTACTGACTTCAACATTTTTTAACTGCAATCGATGAATCAGATTTTCAGACTTTGGCAGTAGGAGGCAAAAGTTTGAGTCCAGTGACTGTATTTCATTGTTTTAGCAGCATATATTAATATCCTACAGAAAACCTTACCGATAAGTGAACTAGAAAAAAGTAAATAAGTAAACAGAAAAATACATGCTGTACAACAACTATGAGATGTTATGATATTCATTTTTACGTATTTTAATGTGCAAACATGCATTTACATGTCATTGCTTAGTTCCCTCTTTTTGCTCTTGAAATGACCTTTATTCTTGCTCGCATAGATTCCATAGGTTTTTTAATGTCACACGTTCAATACCTTGCCAGCATTCGTTGACCACTGCCTCAAGTCAGCCTGGCTGGCGGGTCTGTGCCTCGCCCTCTTCCGGTTAAAACGGTTCTACAAGTGCTCCATAGGTTTTAGATCTGGAATATGAGGTGGAAAGCCATGACAACGAGATCACCAGAATGAGTTTGCTTCTAAAAGATTTCTGGCACATAGAAGATGTGCATGTGCTTAGGGTGATTATCATGTAGTTAGACGTGCGATCATCTTTGTACCAGATGAAATTCCATGTCCTTGAAGAATTGGATGATACTTTTCTTTAATTAGGATCCTATTATATCTTTCAATATTGCCAAACCGAGCATGACCAAAGCAGCTAAAAGTTTGCTTGAGTAGGATTTAGTTTCTTCGAACCGTCCAAGGTTAGTTGCATACAACCTTTTAAATTCTCACTTTTTCTGCGACCTTACGAGGAAAGAATCCTTCAATACTTAATGCAACTATTTGTCCTTGTGCACCATCACTTTGCCCTTTTTCCCACCCATCTTGGGCAGTGTAAAGGAATGAGAACTTTATTTTGTTATAATTTAGATCATTAGGACCAAAACAGTGTGCAATTAATATAGTTTACAGTACTGAAACACTAGCACGCATGTCTTAACTCGAATACGCTGCCAGGATTTAATACTGGAATTCTACAACGACTGGACTCAAACTTTTGCCTCCTACTGTATATATTTATATATATATATATATATATATATATATATATATATATATATATATATATATATAATATATATATATGCAATTCTAATTACACTGCGAGTATCTATCTATCTATCTATCTGCGGCCAACGTTTTTGCAAATGGGTGTATATATATATATATATATATATATATATATATATATATATATAATTATATATGTATATATATATACACCCATTTGCAAAAACGTTGGCCGCAGATAGATAGATAGATAGATACTCGCAGTCTAATTAGAATTGCATAGGAATACATTTGCATGGGATTTCAATCATATTACACAACATATGCAATTCTAATTAGATTTCGGGTATCTATCTATATATCTATCTGCGGCCAACGTTTTTGCAAACGGGTGTATATATATATGTATATATATATA